GCGCTCGAGCTGCCTGTCACTGAGTTATTGATCTGAAGGATTCCAGCTGGCCACACATCATTTGCCCACTGGAAAACCTGGCTGGCTATTGACACTCCCTGCATGGAGCCCGGGCTGCCGGGGGCACCCGCAGGGACGGAGCGGGCACCCCCCGGCCCTCAGCTGCTCACAGAGCAGTGCCAGCCCAACCCAGAGCCAGGGGCAGCACCACAGGCAGAGCTGGGTTAACAGGCACAGTGGGGTGTGCCCCTGCAGCCACTTTGCTTGTTTGACAGGACTGGATGAAACATTTAATGACGTCTGCAAGTCATTCACGTTCGCGTTACTCGTGTAAACACCTGGTATCAAACCACAGACCACTGCGCTGAACTGCTTGAAATGCCAGCTCAGCCACCTGTGGAATAATAATTCAGATTAAATAAATTAGCCCAGCACGTTTCTAGTGCTCCCCACCTTTGCTGCAGTGGGCTCTGCCCATAGTGGATGGGTGAGGTGCCAGACTGCAGGTTGGGGTCCTTTATTCCCAGGGAATAACAAATGCTGCAAATAAAACACACCCCACAGCTCCAGGGCTGCGCTGCACATTTAATGCCCTGTGAGGGTTCAGCTCACTCCTTCCAGGGTGACATTCATGCATTCCAACAACCCAAGGCACCCAACAGCAGGTGCCAGCACCATCATCCCTGTTCCCAGAGCTCCCTCTGGCCACGGCTGACATTTCCACATGGCAGGAAAGGGCAGGGGTGAGAGAAGCATCAGCTACTGAATCTCTTGGCACGTATTTTCCCTGGGCTTGAGGAGGAGAGCCAGGGCCACACTGAGCCTTTTTAACTGGCTAATTTCCAAATGACCAGGTTTCTGCACCTTTGAAAACCCCACTGCCACCAAAGGCCAGGTTTTTAAACTGTATAATTTCCTGACAATTATGTTGTTTTTAATATCTGCTCAGTCACAAAACTCTCTCCAACGTAGCAAAGGTTTTACAGCAAAGTCAGGTGATGGAGCACCATCCTCTTCATCCCTCACCCACGATGGCACAGCCTCCTCCAGAGACAGGACAGCAGGAATCCAACAGCTTCCTTAACTTCTGCTGCTGCTTTCGTTTTGAAAACATTGCTTTGCTGATGGTGCACGAGGTGCTGTAACAGTGCAGCACTGTTCAATCAGTGGGGGCAAAGCCACAGTCCCCTGTGATGGACACCAAGGGAGCCCAGGTGAGGTCATGGTTTCACCCCCAAGCAGCTTCTGCATGTCCTTGGTTATTTGTTTGTTCTTGATGCCAAATGTATTGCTGGAAAAAAAAAAAAAAAGAACGGCCTTGTTTAGAAGTCACACCTCCAATTACATTTAATTACTGCTGCTGTAAAATCGAGGGTGACTTCCATTAAATTTAATTACTTCCCTCTGCAGACAGTGAAGGCAAATGGTCAAGGTATCTCCCAGGCTGCTTGGTGAGAGACACAGAGTCAGGGTAGAGGGTGCTGGGGGTGAAGAAAGGCCCTGGGTGAAGTGATGACCTGTGCAGGGAGCACAAAGCCTGCCCAGGCACTGCAGCCTGGCAGAGGCACCAAGACAAAGCTGCAGAGGCAAGAAGAGTTCTCAGCATCCCACCATGAGATGGCTGGAAAATCAACAACAAATCCACCTGAACAGCACCTGTGGGGTGCCAGGGGCATCCAATCACTGGGTGTTGCTGCTCCCCAAAACCTCTGAAACCCTCAGTGCTTGCAGGAGCAGCCTGGGGAGCCAACACTGGGATGGAAACCTGCACAGCACCTCCCATAAAAAGCTCATAAGGCTCATCCAGTTCCACCCCTTGCCATGGGCAGGGACACCTTCCACTAGCCCAGGTTGTTCCAAGCCCTGTCCAATCTGGCCTTGGACACTTCCAGGGATCCAGGGGCAGCCACAGCTTCTCTGGGCAACCTATGCCAGGGCCTCCCCACCCTCACAGGGAAGAATTCCTTCCTAAAAGCAGGTCCTTCATCACTCCTTTCGTTCTCCAAGCAGAAGCCCACCACGAGACCTTCCCCTCCATCAGCTTCACTACTAACACAGAAAATAAAATGAGAGGAGTCATCACTTTGCAGCCAAGGATTAGTGCTGTATGTGCTTAAAACACACTGAGGGGAGGCAAGGTGTGCTCACAGTCCTGGGCAAGCAGACCATGAAAGCCTCCATCAACTGCTGATATCCCAGAAAGGCTTTTCCCAGGTTTGCATCAGGCTTCCCCTTACCTTTCCCTGAGGACAGGTAAAACATTGGCACCTTCCTGCAAGGGTCATCTCCCTCTGTGAGTTTGGCCATGCACTGGCATCCTGCTGAACACCCACTTGGACTGCTGCTGCTCCACCATCCCCAGGACCACCACACTGTGGAGCTGCTCAATCCAAGTCATGTTTACTGGCAAATGAATTTGATTTAATAATAAACTTGATGATGCCTAACTGATAGATCTAAAAATAAGCCAGTTATCTGACACTCAGCTCTGATCCTTAAACAGATGTTTGAGGATATAAAATTATGTTGTGAGCTTTGAAACTGCAGATACAATTACAACTTTCATCTTTATTGCTGCTCATAAGTGTTAAATGCAACTACATCTACATTGGAACTTCACTTATTACCATATTTCTTCCTCTCTCCCAAGCCAAGGCTGACTTGCAGCACTGTCACACTGGTAATTACTCTCCTCCTCTGACAAACTCAGGGGAACGAACAGAAATCTTTGTGGAGCCCATTTAACATTCATCTCGTACAAACAACTCGGTTCTTCCTGCGTTTCCAGGAGCGTTGGCTCACACAGAAAAATAATTCAGGGCAATACCCTGGGGAAAGACATTGTGCTTTTCAGCTGATGGGCTGTGGGAATTCAGCATCAGGAGCCAGAGCAGCCCAGTGCTGACGAGAGCCAGGGGCAGGTTAAATCAATATGGATCTTCATTTCCTTCCCACTTCTTTTTTTTTTTTTTTTAAGAATTCTTTTTATAGTTTGTGTTCTCAAGGTTTTCACAGCAACAAGAGCTGCTTTACATCCCTCCCCCACCACCAAAATGTCATCAGTTCATGTCATTGTGAGCCTCCAGGACCTGGATCTTCAGGAAAGCTAAAAATACGGCAAATTCTGGGTCAAACCACAACAGCTGATGCCACAGCCTGAAAGCAAATGGTGCAAACATCAGAGGCTCTAAGTACTCCTCCTGAATCGATGTTGGACAAGGAGAAATGTTTTATCTCCAGCCCCAAAAGTGCAGGAACTCAACCCAGAGGTCAGGGCGGTGCAGGGACAGGTTTCAGCCCTTGTGGTGCTTAACCATGGTCTCTGCAGCACATTTTACCCTCTTAACAAATGACAAGTAGCTGAAAGCACTGACTGACCCTGCCTGCAGAGCCCTCCTGGAATCCACAGCCTCCCCAAGGAAGACCTGGGGCTGTGACCCCACTGCCACCAGTGCAGCTCCTCCCTTATGGCAAAGAGCAAGCACATTTCCAGCAGGCAGCACCTGCTGGGTGAGCAACCTTCTGTGGGGGGACAGGGAATTCATCTCTCTTTTCATATTTGATTTGGAGGGACAATTCTTAACTTCTCCACGAGCATGTAACACATGGCATTGCTGCAGTCTTACAGGCAGTTGCTAATTCTCCCCAATAAAACTGGGTTGATAGTGGCTCTCCAGAAAATCAGGAAAAGTCCCCAGGGAATACACTCAAGTTTAGGTCAGCAGCTGTTTGATGCCCTGAGTGCTGCTTCAGGAGCCCTCGAGCACAGGGAGTGTGAAGCTCACACCACTCCAACAACAGCAGGTCTAATCCAAAGGCTTGAACGTGGGATGTGAGGATGGGGAGTGATGCTGAACATTATATGTTATGTTCTCACCACGTGGTAAGCTAAGGAAGGTAAAAGAGAAGACCAAAATCCAAGTAACTCACTAAGCAGATTGCTTGCTAATGGAACTGCTTCTTCTCAATTTGATTTTACACAAGGAGTTTGATTTTACACAAGGAGTTGCTGGCTGCAGCCTGGCCATCCTGGCACTGCACTTCCCAACCCGAGTGCCGCCTGCTGCCTTCACACACTGTTCCACCACCTGCTGATGCTTCTGCCACCAGCAGCAGCACTTCACAACCTCCCCCAGCACAGTGCTGAGGGCCTGAAGACAGATGGAGAGCTGTGCAGAAGGCACACAGCTCCCCCAGGGTAGGATAAATGTTATGGATGAAAAGGGATCATCCAGGCACGTGAGGAGCAAATCTGAACCAGCCCTGGAGAGACCTGCCCAGCCCCTGTGTCCTCCTGCACTGCACGGCTTTGGGAGCCACAGTGTCCCTGCAGACACTGCCCAGGGCAGCCCACGGCCCCAGAGCAACAGGTGGAACCCAAAATGTCCCCAGTGCCACCCAGCAGGGTGATGGGTGCTGGCTGAGCACGGCAGGGATGGACCTGCCCAGCTCACAAACCACGGGCAATGCTGGCCTCTTGTGGCAGCTCTGCCTTCCTTCTCTCACAAGAATTTAAAATCCTAACCACCTCCCAGAAACTGCCCGAAGTCAAAGATTCCTGAGGACAAAAGCAGGGTGGTTTTGAAGGAGGCTCTGGGAACAAGGCCAGGCTGGTGTGATGGAAGGTGTCCCTGGAACCACATCAGCTTTGAGGTCCCTCCCCACACAAACCAGCCTGTGGTTCTGTGGTTCTAAACCTGAAAAGCCCCACTGGGGGGAATAAGGTGGTGAAGATGAGGCTCAGCTCTCACCTGACCAGGCAGAACGTGTGTGGCCACATCCCCACGTACAGGTAGGTCCAGGGAGGGAGGAAAATGCCATTTGCACTGGGGGAGAAAAGGACAAGAAGCTGCAGATTCTGCTTGCCAGCACATAACCCTTACACAAGTGTCCTGCTCCCTAAAAAACATGTATTTCTCCATAACATTCCCACATAGCTTACCCTTTTGGATCTCTGCCCCATCCTCCACTGAATGCCAGAAAAGAGCTGCTAAAAACAATTAATATATGTAGATTGTTTATTGATTCCAACATATTAATAGATTGGATAATAAACAGTACTTTTAAACATTCTCTTAACCAAAAATATAACAAATATTTACAATCACTCAGTAAAAATACAAAAAGCATACAGAGGCACTGTCTTTCTAAAAGACATAAGTGTAAGAGGTATCAAAAAATAGGAGACAAACATTGCTTGTTACAGAATACTTTACAATCACTGACTTGTGCAGTACAATTGCTATTGGAATATCATTACATCTGTGCAGTTTTGCCAATATGCTCACATATTTAGAATTTAATTAATACCAAGCTAAACTGCATTCCAGGTATATCAAAAATAAAGGTAAAACAAAAGCACAACAAAAGCAAAAGCTGGGTTGGGAATTCAAGGTAAGATTACCCTCTATACAAGCGCTCTAAAATATAATGTGTAAAGCTTTTCTAAAGAGAAAGTATCCCTTTTTTCTTGTCTTTTTGCAAAGGCAGTGGTAAGTTCATCCTTTAAAAATTCTACTGTTTTATAAAAACTTGAATGACAGGGTCGTATTTCCACTGTTGTCTGCAATAAAATTACGTGGGAGGTGATGAAAGAGGTTTCGCAACCCCCGATGCCCCACAGGCTCCTCTGGAAGTGGCACTGCTGGCAGGTCCAGCCCTGGGGACACCCTGTGCCCCTGGCAGTGCCAGCAGCCCCAGCACACCCCATCCCAGCTCTGAGCAGCTCCCACTGAGCCATCACTCACCCTGGACCACAGAAAGAACCTGCTGAGCTGGAAGGCCCCCACCAGGACTGAGCCCAACCCCTGGCCCTGCCCAGGACACCCCAAAAGTCACACCCTGTGCCTGAGTGTTGTTCAAACGCTCCTGGAGCTCTGCCAGGCTTGTGCTGTGCCCACTGCCCTGGGGAGCCTGTTCTGTGCCCAGCCACCCTGTAGGTGACAGACCTTTTCCTGATCTCTAACCTACCCCTGCCCTGACTCAGCTCCAGCCGTTCCCTCCAGCCCTGTCACTGCTCTTGGGAGCCAAGAGATCTGTACCTGCCCCTCAGGAGGATGCTGAAGACCCCAAAGAGGTGTCCCCTCGGTCTCCTCCAGCTGAAGAAACCAAGTGCCCTCAGCTGCTCCTCACAGAGCCCCTGCAGACCCTTCACCATCCTCATGGCCTCCTTTGGGTGCTCTCTCACAGCTTAATGTCTTTTTTATATTGTAGTGCCCAAAACTGCACACAGGACTCAAGGTGAGGCTCCTTCTACAACTCCTTATCTGAGCCAAGGCAAAAATAAGGAGCCACTGTTGGCAAGCACCCAAAATTTGTCCACACTGTAAAAATGTGAACTGCAAACATCCACAGTCATTGCCTCTTCATTCTTCTGTGTATCTGGGAGATGAACCTGGTGCTCAGAGGCTCAGTGATCTCATTTTACCCATTTTTTTGTAACTGGAGAGGCCAAATCAGTTCTACTGAACCACACTGCTTTCTCAGGAGTCAGCTGGAAGTTTTTTACAACGAAATAACGTGTGCTTAAATCACAGGAATCTGAAACACATCTTTCACCCACAGGTCAAGAGCAAACAACGAGCAGGAAGGGAGCAAACCCAGGGATGGCAGTGGAAGAACACGACGTGAGGCACCTGAACTGTTCACCACCCCCAGAGCCCGAGCTAGAGGAACCTGGCAGAGGGACCATGGCAGGGTCTGTGACCCAAAGACACCACTGGGGTAAAGGCAGTGCACAGCAGGCACTAACCACCACTTTAAGTCTGTCTGAATCACCAAAAAAAGGGATAGTGTCTCTTCAAAGCCACAGCAGACACACTACATTTGGTACATTTGGCTCTCGGCCCTGATCAATGTGATCGGTCGAGGTAAAAACAAACAAACAAACAGAAAGCCCAGCAAGGAGCAGCAGAGAAGCCACACTGTGCAAGGCAGGAGGAGCAGGAGTAGCTCATCTGTCCATGGTTTATGCATGATTTATGTACACCAGCTGTATTGGCTATTAGGAAAATATGATTAGCAAGACTTTCAACTCATTTCAGAACTTTTCAGTGTGCTGCCAAGCCCTGTGGAACAGAGTGAGGCTGTTGATGTGCAAACACCACGTCTGGATGGGTGATTTATTCAGCTGCTCTTGCTGACTGCCAGAGGAGACCCCGACCCCGCTCCCCCAAGGGGCTTCCCTGTGTCCTCAAAGGCAGCACTATTGGGTTCTGGGGGAAAAGGAAGCCACTCTAGTAGCCCTCACCCCTTATACTTTTGTTCAACAGGCTGAAATCAGCTCAGCTCACCCCCCTGGAGGCCGTGGAACCGTGTGGTTTGATTTACCTGGCACAACGCAGCCCATTTCCTGGCGGAACACGCAGCCTGTCGTTTCCATGTGCTGACAGTGGGATGGCTCAGACCTGGATTTACATCCCACAGAAACAGCAGTTTAACAGCTCTATTATCAATATTCCATGTGCTGGAAACACTTGCTCTGCCCTGCTTTGCTTTGACACTTGCATTAATCTTTAGTCATTAAGGCCTGGGCAGGTTCATTATATTCATTAAGGCCCCGAAAAAGCAAAATGCATTTATTATGCTATACCTCAAGTGGACTTTAATACATTTTTTCCAACCATTTGCTTCTCGGATACTTGTGCCAAAAAGTCATACAGCCAACCAATCAGCTCTAAATTAGGCATCCCCTCCTCAGCATCACTGTTCATTAACACCTCCCCAATTCCGATCCGTACAGGGACATTCCAGGTGACGTTGGACCTGGCACTGCTCCCAGTGCACACACAGGCTGGGTCACACACACCCACCTGGCTGCACCAGCCCCAAGCTGCTATGGGGAAAGCACATCAAAGGCTTTGGGTTGTTTTTGGTACTTGTGGCATTTTCCAAAAGTGTTGCATTCACCTTGCACCCCTGCACACATACAGGTAAAAGAAAAAAACCCTTAAAGCTCTTCACGACTATGGATATAGAAATCAGTTTTGAGGCACTGTAAAAATGACAAACATCATCTTTCTAGCTTAGGCTGTAAACATCACAACAAAGATTTACAATTAAATGTTTAAATACATATTCACACATTCATGTCTGATTTTAACACTAGAATGGGGTGTCATGTGCAGAAAGAAAGAGAGAGAAAGGAAAAAGAAAGGAAAAAGAAAGGAAAAAGAAAGGAAAAAAAGAAAGAAAAAAAGAAAGAAAAAAGAAATTAAAAAAAAGAAAGAAAGAAAAAAGAAAGGAAAAAAAAAAAGAGAAAGAAGGAAAAGAACCTGCAGGTATTTCCAGTTCTACCCCTCTGAGCTCTGGCTGGCTAAAAGCAAAATCAAAGAAGCAATTTTTTTGACCATAGTCAAACTAGAGGATCATGGGTTAATACTGGCTGGCTGTAAGTCAAACTCTCATTGACATCAACACCACCAGGATTTTTAACTAGGATTTAAAATAAAATGGTTTGAGATCATCTGTATTTAAAAAACCACAGGGTTTTTTAACCCATCATAAAATGCATTATGCTCTTATTTAAGCATTATGCCATTTAATATTCAGTTTCACAAATTTTACTGTGAAATGTAGGTGATTTATAATTCTTTTTTTTTTTTCCAAAGATAACCTTTGCACCTAAATCCTGTGCAACTCTGGGAAAAGGCCAGGACGTGTGGGATGATCTTAAAAAACCCACAACACACGGCTGAGTTCTGGTTTTTAGAACATGTTTTGCATGTTGAACTCCGCAGGGCAAAACCTGGTTAAAGCTCTTTTGGGAAAGCTTCAGACCCCCCCAAAATGCTCCCCAAGAGCTTCCACATTGCAAAGGTTCCTGAACAGGGGAGGAGAGCACCAACTGTTGCCTTAGTTGGCTGGCAGCCACAATAATTCCAGAAATCCTTGGAGGGCAGGAGGTTTCTGCTGGGTCCACGTGGGAGGGGAGCAGGGCCTGACACCCACTGCTCTGCAGGGCTTTGGGCTCCATTTATATTAAATCTAAACCCACTCTAAAATCCATGGATTTCTGCACCTGGTAATGGCCCACTTGTAGTTTTCTGTGTTTATTTTGAGAGCACAACAGTGGATGTGTAGCTAATTTACCGTCACATTGACTAAACATTTATATTAGCCAACCAGAGCACTCCCAACACAAATAAAAGGAAATTCCCATTTAAAAAAAAATTTAAATTAATAAATTATTTTCAGATACTTCAGCAATGTCCTTTGCTTTTGCTGACATTTTGATATAATTTTTTTTTTTTCGAAGTTCATAAAATAACACTCTCAGATTTCTAATGGTCATGTAGAAAATAAGGACAATGGAAAACTACCAAAGGATTACATGGTATCATACAGAAGAATGCTTTTGAGTTTCAAGTGGTGGTGACAACTGGTCCTCCCCATGCACCAAGCTCAGTCCATCTCTGGGTACCAGTGCTGGTATCCGGGCAGTCAGCACACTCCTGGAATGTGACTTTCTATCTCCCAGGCAGAAGGAGCTTGCTTAGGGGGTGGCAGAGTGAAGGAGGGCGTAGAGAGGAGAATCCAACCCGTTCCATCTCGTCCAGGACAGGGGCAAAGGTCTGAGGTCAGTAGCAGCAAGTCGTTAGCGGTCGCTAACAGAACCACGAGGTCCTTGTCCCCACATCCCTCGGGCTGAGAGTGGTTCACACAAACAGCCCAATGCTTAAACTGCTGATACTTGTTCATCTTCTGCAAAACAAGAGAAGAGACAGGGTCAGTTATTGCAGCAGTGCCCACAGAGCAGCCCCCAGTGACGTGACCACAGTGGGTCTGGGACGACTCCACCCCTTCAGCAGCGTGTTCTCACTGTCTTTATCACTGATCACTCCAGATTCCACAGCACCATTTATCAAATCCTCAATCACAGAATGGCTCAAGTTGGAAGGGACCTTATAGAATCCTATTCCAACCCCCTGCCCTGGGCAGGGACACCTTCCACCAGCCCAGGTTGCTCCAAGCCCCGTCCAACCTGGCCTGGGACACTCCCAGGGATGGGGCAGCCACAGCTTCTGCAGTCTGAGGTATGATCACCACACGATAAAGACATATTGCAAACCAGAAAATCCCAGATCCTCCAAGAATTACCAGCATGCAGATCCTAACAGGGCAAAAGCTATGGATTTGGGAGAAAAGCCAGCAAATTTCCATGCAGTGAGCATTTTATCCCAAAAAAAATTAACCAAGCACTTTAAAAATAGTAAAGTAGGTGTCTCTAAAAGTGTATGGTTAAATTTATCTTAGAAAAATTGGGATTAAAATGTTTGAAGCAATTGCTTCCTTATTTTTACATCAAAAACACAACTGAACTAATGCTGGGCAATTTTATGTTTACTGTAAGTTTGAACCATGGTACTAATATATATGTTAAATACTGTTCAGATATTTTAAAGGGCCAAGATACAATCATTTTGCATCAGAAATTGTTTTAATCTAAATCCTGGCTCATTTTAAACCAGACTGAAATGGAAGGAAATGATCAAACATTCTAATAAAAAATGAGTTCACTATCAAAGGGTACAGAGAGATCACATCGGTGCACAGGTATTAAAAGCAAATCAGCATATAAACAATTAAGTAGAAATTCCCCTGCCCTGAAGTTAGTTTTGACACAATTTAAGAGCAGTCTTTATCAGAAAACCCTCTCACATTTTGGTCACCCCATAGATGCTGTGCTTGGCAGCACTGGCTGTTGCTTCAAACAAGATCATAAAAAAACTGAACTGGAAGAGACACTGTCAGGTCAAGTTGGGCAGAGAACCCAGGTTTCATCAAATGCACTTTTCAAAAGAATAGAAGTTCACTATTATTTTGTTCAACATTTTTAAACTTGATCTCCAAAAATATCTGTTGAGGCATAAGGCAGCTCAATGCCAGCACACATGAATGAAAGGAGTTCACCAAATCCAAAGCACTCAGGACATCATCCTGATCCCAGCCTAAACCACTGGGACATCACTTAATCAATCCAGAGAGGCTGGAGTTTTTCCACATGTAATTTGTAGCCCATCAGTGTCCCTTCACTGTTTGAGAGGGGACAGATTTTAAAGACAAAAAAAAAAGAATAAAACTACATGTCCATGCTCTGAAGTGTCTCAGTTGTACTTTGGAAGATCTTATATGTATATTTATATATTTATTTATTTATTTATATATCATTTAGAATCTGTTCAGTGCCAACATGCTTTTTCTGAAGGGAAGGCATTCTTTTTGATTTAAACCTGTATATACATGCACACAGCCCTGCATGATATACACAGCTGTGCATGTGCACGCAGCCATGCAAACACTCCTGTATGTTCCGAGATTAATCGAGTTTTAATCTCCAAGAATGACCCAAGAGAAAGCCCGGAAGGTGGTTGTGAGCCCAGATTCCCCAGCAGTTGAGGTGTTGCACATACCATCCTCTTCACTATCTGCGTCAGGCATATCTGCTAGTTTGGGGCTGGACGGCTGCCGGCCGTGCCACTGGGGCATCCTCGAGGAGAGACAGTCACCACCCAGAGGAGCTGCTGGAAGTCTAGAGAGGTCACTGTGCAGCATCTTTGACCTCTGCACTGCCACACTATAGTCTGGAGGTTTGAGGTGTGGGTGGTGGGGCGATCCTTCCTTTATGTCCGCTAAAGAAATCCCCATATATCCCGGAGGGGTGGGCGGTGGCTCCCTATACCTATCGTCCTTCTTAGGTGAGGTGACACAGTACACTGGCACAAGAAATAAGCAATGGAAATGTTAAAGAAGAAAACAAAGGAAACAAAACGTTAAAAAATCATGAAATGTTACAATGGCAAAACAGAAACTGATAACAAAACGCAAATGCGGAAACACCGGTTATAACGACAGCAGCAGGTATTTGTGCTTTCATTTCTGCTTTCTGCTTATTTATGAAGTCAGAGTAGCAAAAGAACCCAAGAACTCCTTAGGTGAGATGCCAATTGAGTGGAAACAGGACTATAGGCTTCTCTGCATTCAGACTGCAATTAACAGCTGTCATTAGAGTCCCCAGTCCTGCAGCCCCACTGCATCCCAGGGTAAGTCCCCACTCCTGCAGGCCACTTTGCACAGCAAGAACTGCTGGTTGACTTCCAACATCCACTCCATCACCCAAAACAGAGGTCAGTGGCTTAACAGAAACTCATTAGAATAAAATATCACTGTATCAACTGATGTGTATAAAGACATGAAACTATACAGCTATGCTATGGGAATAAAGAAAGTCAGTAGCACATAAAACTGCTCCTGTGAGGCAAAAGGTGTATGAGCCTGCATTCATTATTTTATCTTTTCCAACAGTTAATAATGGCTTATCCCATCCACACTTTTAATGTCTTTTTTTTTTTTTGGCTTTGTTTTCTTCTATACCCTTATCTTAAAACTATATTGTCTGTTTACAAGTAAGAAACAACCTGGAACAGTCATGGAAACAGCCTTTGGAAAGGCTGCATTACACCTTGTGCAGTCATGAAAAGGCTCCAGTCAGTAGTATCTATTTGCAATGTCCATGCCACGTAATTCATCTTCTCCCTTCCTGCCCTGTTCAGGTCCCAAAGGCTCTCAAACCAAAATTCAAATTTTCTCAAGTTGCCTCCCCTCCCTCCCAGCCCAGGTCTGGGGCTCATGTGCATGTTAAATTGGGCTCCTTCCATGGACATGTTGCAACAGGAGAGTTTCCAAGCCAGGATAATTTTTAAAGTCTGTTAGTTGAGTGAATTTGCATTCTTCCTGTGGATTCATTTTAAACAGTGCACATTCATTATTTTAATTTATTTCAGCAACTGTAATAGTTTCTTATCTTAGAAAAATGGGAAGGGATGAAAAATAAAGGAGTATTTCCTATTGTGTTGTAGACTTGTGAGATTTTAGTATCAGCTGGTTCATGGCTGGTTCATACTTGGGCTGATAGTAAAATAACCCAAAACCAAATTCAGTCAGTCTGGGATTTAGCAGATACACATGGGTACAGGAAGAGATTCATACAGCTGAATTACAGGATTTATTTGCACTGAACTCGCACTGAAGGGGGTCTCTATGAGAAAGCAGGGGAAGGGAAGGGCTGGGCACTCTGAGCAGACCCTCAACCTTCAGTCTTGGTTGGATTTGCAGGAGGGCTGATGAGGGTGGGTGTGTTCTCCTTCAAAGGAGAAAGCTTCAGGCTCTCTAGAGCTGACCTTTAGTCTACTGCAGTAACAAAAGAATAACGTGTCCCTCTGTCAAGTTCCAGTTCATAACATTTTACAAACGGTGAAATAAAGTGAAAATATCTTTGGCATACTGTGTGATGGTGAACAGCTCACAGATCTGCAGCTGCAAACAGGGAATTGTCTCTGCCTGTATCAGATCTTCCTCAAGCAGACACACACGTGCTGAGGGCTCCTCACCAGCACAGGGGGATTGGACATGGAATGAAAAAGGCAGCAAAGAGCTGTGAGCAAAGACAGTGTGTCCTGAACAGTGGACATGCCATCTCCTGAAACAGGCCATGAGCAGCTCTGGCAGGCTGTGAGGGCAGAGCACAGGCACAGCACTGAGCTGGGAGCACATTTCCTGCAAGGCTCCACCATGAGTTCTTCTCCAAAGCCAAGGAGGAGGAACACAATCCAAGACCTCTGCCCTACATGCCATGTTTGTTGAGGCAATTACCTTTGATAACACAACCCCCTCCAGCAATCCAGTCAGTAATTAAACTGCATTTCAGCTGCATCCTTGACTTACAGTCTTAGAAAGCTTTGCATTCCATGTTTTATCTTGTTGCTAACCCAGTTCCTTTAGTTTTGGCTGCTGAACTCACTAGGCCAGGGGTAGAACATCTTGCTCGATAGAACTATGCATATCTGAAAGTTTTAAGTTTTCCTCCTTTCATATGTAGCCAAACTGCAGCTGTATAATCAAATAAATGGCAGTTTAAAATAGCAAAGGCAAGAAAGGAATCTGCTTTGCCCTTGAGCTTCCAGAGACCAAAGCCCTGTGGATGAAAGCTGCCCCAGAGGGGCAGGTGAGCTCCACAGCACTCAGTCATGCTCTTCCCTCTGGGTTCCTGGGAAGTCTGTATCATAAGGAGCATGGGATCACTGCTCCTTGTCAGGGGAACATCTACAGTGATGAGTACACTTCCAAAAAAAAGCAAAAAGCCACACTACAGAGAGGACCTGCCTGTCATTTTCCTGAAGACAGCTCTCCCGCAGCCTCACGGAGTGATGGGGAAGTGTGCTCGTTTATTGTCTCTAAATTTGTAATGGTGGCTTGAAAACACACTGTGTGTGTAGTGTTCTGACTGCAACCCCGGGAGAAGCTGAATTTAACATGCCAGACAGCCCCAGACCTGCTGATGTCATTTCTTAACAACTTAATATCAAAATGAAAAACAGATGTAGCAGCTTCCATAAGCTGTTGGCTTGGCTTACCTATCAGGCCTTTTTCTGTACTGGAAGTAACAGTTTTGTAAGTTGTATCAGCGCCTGGCTTAGAGTCCAAAACCTCCGTCTGCTCGGCCGTGGAGTTCTCCAGCCCCCTGCGCTTAATTGTCCCATAGTTTGTCTCGTAGGTGTCTGACAGGGAGCTGGAGGAGGCCCAGCTCTGCCGGGACTGATCGAGCTCCACACTGGCTTTCGACTGCCTGTTGGCTTTGGAAAAGGCTTCGGAATACAAATAACCCTCCTCGGAGTAACAGTTTGTGGGATCCACTTCAGCTATAGGTCCGTCCAGCTGGGTGTGACGGTAGGAGTTGAGGAGATCCCAGCTCTTCTGGTTGGGGATGTTCTGGAAGTTGTCATGAGAACTACTGGAGCACGAAGTCCAGCTGCCCCGGCCGCTGTCGGCTGCCTCCACCGTGATGTGCTCGTGGGAGATCTCCTCGCTGCTCATGGAGGAGGTGAAAGCCATCCCTCTGATCAGGGCAGGCCTAGTGATCGACCAGCTGCGTTTGAAAACAACAGAAACCGGGAAAAAACCGCTTGTGAGCTTTTAAAATAAAGAGTGATGTACTCAGAGGCAATCACAGCTGTGGGTTTGTACCAGGTGAGCAGCAAGGTCAAGGCACACGGGAGCACTGATAGGAGACACTGCTGCTCCCAACTCATCACTGCACAGGCAGCAAGGAAGTCATTCCCATGGGAATAATAAGTTTGCAACATGCATTTCCAGGCTTGACCCCAGATCCATAAATCTGGTCTGTAGAAGTTTTACCAACAACAGCAAGACAGTGCCTGACAGAAAGCAGAGGAGCAATTGCCTCTTTCTTTCATGCTGCTGCCACCTTTTTCTTTAAATTTATAAACTAAAAATAAATATTTAGAATAAAACCGAACCCCTTCACAGGCAGCAACATCAAGTTGTTTAGACAGAGTGGAGGCAGTTATATTTCAAGAACAGTTGGAAATATTGGACATAAATAACATTTGTGGGAACGATCTGGAGCGACAGATTCTGAAAAGCAAAGTCCAAAATTTCTTTTTTCAAGAAATGTCTGCTGAAAGCTCTAATAGCTCTCAATGCATAATTAAGGGGGTAAAAATAAAGCCAGGTTTGCAAAAATTTGGAATACATAAAGATATGATTGCTAGACATTATTCAAGTCTCTTAACTATTTCTGGGTGTGTTAACAAATGCATGGGCAGCACATTAAAATTCAACACCCTTCCTCAGCAGTTTACTGACACATTGTGAAACCAAGGAATGTTTCTTAGATATGTGCAAACAAGTTTTTTTTTCCCTTGCTTTTCAATTTTATAAGTTCTAGGATAAAACCTACTTTCTTCCCTCCAAAACCCACTGAAACTAAGGAATAAAGGAACAACCACAAAATGTGAACTCAGTGTGTGTTATGCCTTTCAGAAAAGTGCTTTCTTTAATGAAGCACATCTTTAAATTCCCATTTTAACCTTATGAAATAAATGGAATTACTCATTTCTTTCCATCCCTGGAAGTGTTCAAGGCCAGACTGGACAGGGCTTGGAGCAACTTGGGCTAGTGGAAGATGTCCCTGCCCATTTTAGGGAGTTGGATCAAGATGATCTTTAAGGTCCCTTTCAGCCCCAACCCTTCTGTGATTCTGTGAGCTGGAAAAATTAGAAATATTAAGGAACATCTCTCATGTAGTTGAATCCATGACATCTGAGGACAGAAAATGCTGTCCCAAGATATATTAAGACATATTAAATCCTATGGATCGAAGCTTTACGTCTAGGAAGACAAAACCAAAAACTGCCAGTTCAAAGCATCATTTCAGCACAGATTCTCACTGCACCAAAGGAACAAGAGCTCCTGTGTGGAAACTCTCAGGAAGTCAGGGGCAGAAAGCTTCCAGTTTGCCTAAGCAACAAATGGTAATTAGAAAAATCCTTAAAAATCACATTAGAGCATGGTTAAGTGACTGGTACTGCTGACTCAGAGAGAATTGATAATTTCCTGTTGCTCTTTTGCTGTCTCTCACCACGACACTAATTTGCTAAGTATCATCCTGGCTTTTAACACATTTGCAGTCTCCAGCAAGAGATGTCCAGCTGAACCCCAGTGATGGGAACACGCTGCTGTCTCCCCAAGTGATACTGTAAGCTTCTTAGGAAAACAGGCTCACACAGAGCAGCCAGCTCTCCAGCTTCCAGCAAGAGCTTAACAACCCTGGTGGAGAGCAGAGCTGCGTCCTGGCCAAACCTTCATCACCCCAAGGCCAACCCAAACCGGCGGCACCTCACCCTGGGCAGGGCTGGCCATAATCCACCAGCGGCTGGGGATGCTCCTTCCTCTCTGCCCCGCTGGAATCCACCACGATGAGGGACTGGGACAAGCCCCTCTCGTCCTGCAGTGCTGCTGACATGGAATCCACGGAGCAGTTGCTCACGATGCTGGAGCGGGACGAGATCTCGCTGTGACTGGAGTCGGAGAAGTTGTCGGATTTAGTGGAAGGGATGAGGGCGTAGCCTAAGGAGGGGAGGGGACACCTTGGTCAAAGAGCAACTCGGGTTTGTAGGTATGACAACAAAGTTTTGACACGTGCATTACAGCAAGGGTATTTAGAAGAGAAACCACCAGATCCTCTCTGCACACAGTCAGTGCACTGAGGATTTTAGGTACTGAAGCTTTAACCATCTGTCAGCACTGATTTATTTACTGATGCAAGTCCAGCGACACCAACAACCCACCTGCAACTCCACCACTCTCCAGAGCAGCAGCTTAAACCCACCTAACCAGGATCAGTAGTGAGGGGGCCAATCTTTCCAACTCTGCAAGTGCTGCCTCCTCTGGTATAAACACAGCACACTTCCCACTGTCCCTCTGCCCAACTGCCGTGCAAGACTCAGGAAAGGTTTTGGCAGTGGAGGAGGAGACGCTGACTAAGGTAAGAGCCAGCAATTAGCACCCAGGGATTAGCCATATGGTCCTTTTCAGTTTTATTATCTGGTCCAAAACTAACAGAGAAGGAGGCAAAGGCAGGAAATACAACTTTGGCAGGAGCTGGACCAGACTCCAGTGCTGTTCCCACTGAACGGGAACAGCTGAAGACCCCACAAGATTCAGAGCAGAATCTAGAATGTATTTTTTCCTGCTTGGCTTACCCTTACCCACAAATAACTTATCTCAAACACAAATAACATACATAGCCCTATATATCCAACACCTCAGATAAGCTTTTTTTTTTTCCTGAATTCCTGCACATGTGCCTTTGAGCTGGACTGCCACATATTTACATCCATTAGGTGAAAATGTGAAATGACCAGGCAGTGTAAAAGCCATGCCAGTGATACACACAACCTAACACAGAAGACTGATGCCCTTAAGTCCATAAAAAATTCAGAGATAATATAATATGGCATCTGGTGCCACTGGCATACTTGCCCCTGAGCATAGAGCTCATAATTTGAGAGACTTCACAGCTTAACTTTGATCATTACTGTAGGGTTTTAAGAGCAAATATGAGCATTAAATATCAATATTATCAAACTATAGGACTGAATCTTATGCCTGGAAAAATGTCATTAGGAGCAGCATTTTTAAGATTAAATTTCCGTTTCCTTTCCTTTGACAATAACTAATATTTCATATTCTTTACATTCTTAAGGGACTCTTTAAATTTACACAACTGTACTGCAGTAAGAAATGCTCTCAGTGTGTCTTAATTTTAAGACACTGTTTTTCAAGAACTTCAAAGATCTGGAGAACTAAAGGGCTCCTCTTCATTAAAGAAATGAACACTGTCTGAAAGTTGGGCCATTAAATGACAGCACATATATATAAACAGGCTCAAGGCAAGTGTTTGCTGGGCTGAAAAGGTCAGCAGAGGATGTGACCAATGCAAATACACACCAGTGCTAGAAGTGAGCATTTGATTTACATCATATCAGGGACTGTCTAATTAGGAAATCGTTGCAGAACTTACTGTTTCATTGGCATTTGTGACACACTAAGTAACTGAACTGCCACTGTACCTGTTCCTTGATTTTCTAACTTCACATTATTGTCTTCACTGCACTGTAAGGGTGATTAACTACAAAGAACTGACACAAATATCTGGAAGGGAAGAACATTAAACAGCTTAAACATATAAATGGATAATGCTGAAATAACTTAGATAAACTCAGGATATCTGACACAATGTGGACATCAGTCTTTGTTTTAAAAATAAATCATAAGGTCTTTCTCCTCCTTCTAGACTTGGTGCACAGGCAGGGAGATGTGTACAGACTGCTGTTGCTATAGATACTGAGAGCATCACTGTCCTTGTCCTTTTGGTTTTCACTCCTTTCTGAGGCTTCACTGAGCTCTGCTTCCCTTTTCGCAGCAAAAGGTTTCCTTTCCCTGGAGAAGCTTCTTTCCCTAAGTCTTCTGAACCGTGATCCCTTTATTTTTGGGGGCTCATGCTCAGCTTCTGCCTCTCCACTCTCATGTTCTCTGTCTGCCTTTGTGCTTTTCTCAGAACTGTCTCTGCCTTGGCAAATCATCCGAATTTTCTTTTGTAAATAAGCCCCACCTATTCCATAGCTGCGCTGGCCACTGGTCTTGTTGCTGGTCTCGCTGGCCAGTGAGGAGGAAGAGCCAGAGAGATTCATCTGACTGCAGTTATCTGACCTCTGTGTGTTGCCAACTACAAGAAAGCAGACACAGGCAGGTGCTGGTAAGTGACGAGAGAAATAACAACAAAAATAACACCCTAATTTTAAACCCTTTTTTCTTCAATCCTATTTGCATATCACTTGGGTAATAGCTCAAAAAGAAAACGAAATCTAAGATTAAAAGTGGAATGTGTTCATGCCTAAAATTATGTCTTTCAGCTGTCTGTGAAGCACCTAATTTTAGATCAATGAGCTGTTAGCACAACATACACAAGGTACAGATCACCTCAATCAAATTACATCAGTGCTAAAAATATGCCGAAATCAAGTTGAATTAAAGAAATAATCCCAAAGAAACAAAACATTATTTTCAAAGAACCAGATGAAAAGCTAACAAAAATAACAAGTTTATAAGCGATGCTCAGAAGCCTCAGTGGAGCAAGGCTTTGCAACCCAAGTAATTGAGCTTTTTATAGGTATGCTGTGTTTAAGTAAAATAAGTGGCATTCTCCTAAAGGCAACAGGATCTTGTGAAGGCAGAAGTGGATGGACCAGCCTGATCTCCCCCTGAAAAGGGTGAGGAGATGCAGCAGGTCCCCATGCCATGCCATGCCAACGCGGGGGCTTTGGGCTGTCAGTGAGTCAAAGCAGCACAGAAGGGAGGGAGAGAGGCCTTACACCATCCAACACCGACCACCTGGGCTGACTACAGAGTGCTCCTAAGAGATTTCAAATGAATTCCCATCCAAGGTTGACTAATGATGAAGTGATGCAGGTCTTTTAAGACGAAGACATCAAAAATAAAGGGATTCTCAGGGCATCATGAGAGACAGGGATGTACACAAAGCCCTGTGCACAAGAACAAAAAACATGAACAGCAACTCGAGGATTTAGGTGGATCCACTACTTCTGCAGCAACCTAAACCACAGGCCCTGGGGAACTCTGACACCATTCTATCTCCAGCTCCATCTCATCACCTGGATGAGATGGATATTCCAGCTACCTTGGGCAAGACCAGGAGTTGTCTCGACAGCTGCAGTTTCTGTGCAACACTGTCATCTTCAAGAAATCCCCAGGTTTGTGAATCCCATCTTTTTAAGTGGCCACCTAAATCTGAACTGACATGATGGCAGGTGTCAGCACTTGGGAATTCTGTCAGAAGCATTTAGGCAATATTTTAAGAAAACAATTGTTCCCTTTTTTAAATAGTAAGTGACTTTCAAGGCCAAAACGTATAAATACACTGGAAAATCACGTCTACTCATAGAAAGACATGATTCTATTCTTGACATGAACATTCTAAACTACTGTTGCTCTTATATGCCATTATCAACAAATACTGCTGCCAGTGCCCACCCTGGTTTCAGTTCAGCCCAGGCTGGAGCTCCTGGGCTCACACACAGCAGGACCATCCCCACAGCTCACCTACCTTTGCGTGGGGAGCCCTGAGGAGAAGCAGGAGGGCTGGAGTGCAAAGAAGATGCCATGGACATGGTGTCATCTGTTTGTTTCTTACTACTTACTTCCTCAGACAAGCTTAATGACTTCTGTGGGGAGCCTGTACCTGTGAAAACAATGGAACCAGTTACTGGTACTGCTCTTCTTTTGAGCTACTGCTATCTCTTTAAACTACAAATAACACCATGTTGAATGATCAGAGTATTCAGCAAAGAGAGGAGCAGATGCTCAGAGGATTCTGCATGTGGAGGCAGTCTCCATTTAAATTTAAATTTAGATCAGAGCAGCTGTGGCCACTGCTGGCTGCTCATCTCCAGTGTGTTGAAACATCCAGGTCCTAACAGGAACCACTGCAACGGAGACACTGGCTGTGGTTTTGGCAAAGGACTCTGTAACAAAAAAACTGTGTGAAGGATAAAGCCTGGAGGGAATCCTTGCCCAGTGCACTGCTGGGACTGTGTTAAAAGCCACGTGTGTCACAGCCAACAGGTCAGCTCAGGATCTTCACAAGCAGGAGTTCTCGAGTCAACACTCGTGGGCACCACCCACAGCCTGGACAGTTTAGCAAAACCAGTGTCCCACTGAGGATTTGGTATTTCTTGCTCACTCTCAGACCACCTTGCAGAGAACACAGTGCTGAGGAGTTAATTCAAGTTGTCAGTAATTTGTTAGATTAATACGGAACAAAACATGGGAATGAAGAAACACCTCTGAGCAAAGTTTCTGGAACATTTCAAACTGCACAGGCTTTCCAGAGGAGACCTGAAATAAATACTAACTGGAAAGAGTATTTTATGTGCTGCAATATACTGTTTTCCAGAGATATTTTAAAGGATATTGATGCCCAATGTACCATAAAATCATTTCATATCATTTACTGACTGCAGTTAACTATTTAATAACCCAGAACTGTGGCTTTTAAATAATACAACAGTTATGTAAATAGGTTAAAAGCTTTTCAATACATAATATACTGCTTTCCAACTAGCAAAGTTAGAGACAGAAAAAAAATAACATTTACTAGGAGCAACTAATAATATCTGTTGCTCCGTTTGACCATAATATCATTTGTTGTTATAATGGTGTCCCATAGGTTAAAATATTAAATGTCTGTGATTTGTTTCAGTGATTTCACCTAAATATATTAGACTTCATTAAGCAAGAGTGTATTTGGAGACAGCACCTCACTGTTAACTGTTTTAAGGAAAGTTCTTTAAGACTGTGCAAATGACTAAGCAGACAGCATGCTCTCTTAAAACACAGTAATATGCACCAGCTATTTTAGAGTGAATTAATGAAATTAAGCACAATAGTATCTCACATAAAGCACCCAGCTACAAACAGCTCCTCTGTCCTATTTACTCCCATCTCAAACTGGATACTCACTGAATGTGACGTGATCCTTCGTCAGCCCCTTTTTCCTGCTGGGGTACAAATTCACAGTTGGCACCTGAAGAACTTGACTCATTCTGTTCTGTTGATGCTGATGGGCTTTCGTGGTTTGGCCAATTGACCTCATGGGCACTGGAGACATTTCGGAGGATTTCCCTCCTCTTCTCTCACTTAAATTCTTTGTCACTGTCAGGGAAAAACTGCAGATAAATATCTTGCACTTTGAACGGCAGGATTATTACAGCACAACCATCCAGAGAAAGGAACCACTGTATAAAGAGGGTAAAATGCATTTGAAACCATTTCTATTCCAAGCACACCCATCTCATCATACTGAAGATGCTGTTGTGTGGAACGGCTGTAAAAATACCCCTAAATTCTTTGAAGTGCCATTGAGGTACTTAATCAAAAGACAATAAAATGTTATTTATTTCCACAAGCCTGTATTTTAGATGTTTGTACATAAGGAGCAGCATCTCCTTCAAAACCAGGTTGTTTTGCAGTTGGCATTAACGTTTCACTAGGTGGCACAAGTGATTTACAGCACAGGGCACTGCTTCAGCTTCTGATTTAATCAATTCATAAGCTCTGAAGTTAAGGCCATCCAACTTCTCCTTATATTCCCTTGGAAAACTCTGGATTGCAGCATCACTGATGCTCATTCCCTCTGTAAGCAAGGTTGGGAGCTTATTAGGGAGGGAAGAGTTGAGACTGAACCCCTGCTTTCCTGGGCATGTGCAAAAAACCCTCTTTGCCCAGAAACAAATGGCAAAGCCCTGTGCCAGGCTGCCTGAGTCAAAGTTCCTTGGTCAAAATTTAAACGTGGGTAATCCAACCCAGTGTGGAGGAACATCCCTGGGAGCAGCTCAGTGCTCTCTCCACCAGAATTAGAACCACAAGGGGCTGGCAGCTCCCTCATGCTCCACAGGGCTCCTCCATCCTTTCTCCCAGAATTACCTGTGTTTTTTGGGGTTGGGGGATTCTTTCCCAGTTTTCAAAAAGGTACTTCTAATAATACACCACTCTATTACATATTTATTTGTATATCCATTTAACCTTTGTTTTCCTTTCTAACATTTAAGGAAAAATTTTAAGTATCAAAATAAAATGCAATTATAATGTCTCATTTCTAAGTAAGAATTTACTGAACTGTGTAAGACACCAGGTCAGACAACAGCTTGCTTGACAGGAATTCAAATCAAGGGAGCTGTCCTGCTGTAGCCCTCAATTTTTGCCTGTCAAACCACATCAAACCCATCAGTCAATATTGACCTAACTTCTGCTTCTCAACAATCTTCATTTATTCTAAGCTGAAATCCATTGCAGTTTCTATATTGATTTTGTCTCTTTTCATTTTCTTGCTGTTCATATGGTAAATGTTACTTCTATCCTTCCTAATTCTGTACAAGGACGGCGGGGCAAGAACTGAGCTGATGTACTATTGAATTTCCTGCCAGACTGATGGAAAGACACACAGCTTAGGAACTAAAGGGCAGAAGAAAAACCATCACGGAGGTTTTTTGAGCTCAACCAAGACCTGAACACAAATGCTGCCTTGCTGAAGCCCTCAGCACACGAACTGACAAACCAGAACTCACTGAAGTATTTTGTCCTTGGAGAAAGAGTTTAAACGAGTATTTCTAGAGAAGGAACTGTACTTACAAGTGCTGTAGGCAGGCTCACACTGGAGTGACAATATCTGGATCTTCTCCTCGTCTGTCTCCACGTTGAGGTTGGACAGGTACTGCTTCACCTTCCTGGCCATCTGCGCGTCCTCGTAGAGCTTCTTGGCGTTGAGCAGCGAGCTGCGGCGGGCACGCTTCTTGTGGGCACCTCCCTGCACATCCAGCATGTTGGAGTTCGTGCTGCCCTGGCTCAGAGACCTGCAAAACAGAAGAGCAAAGCAGTAAAGGTTCAGTTCTCAACAGCACTGAAGAGCTACAGTAGCACAGGCCAAAGCAGATTAATACCAATAATCTTCAGTTAGGGCTAGTGCATGCTGATGCAAATGAGTTAAAAAGATGAACAGCAGTAAAACAACACTTGTCTTAAAATATTCTGGTAAACTGAGAGTGGCAATTTGGGTCTAGAACAGGATTGCACATGGAAATGTGGAACTGGGAAGGACGAGGTGCAATGCTCTGCACAGAACCCATTCAGCTCCACTAACAAACCACAGGCTGGTGCTGCAGGACCCAGAGCTGACAGGACGAGAGGAAACGGCCTCAAGTTGTGCAAGACAAGAATTAAATTAGGTATTAGGAAATATTTCTTCATGGAAAAGGTTGTCAAGCCCTGGAACAGGCTGCCCAGGGCAGTGGTGGAGTCACCACCCCAGGAAATGTTCAAAAAACACTTGAGAACATGGTTCAGTGGTGAACGTGGTGGTGGTGCTGGGCTGATGGTTGGACTCCATCTTAGAGGTCTTTTCCAACCTTAACAATTCTATAATTTCAACTGCAGATTGTAAAAGTGGACAAACTTATTAACTCTGTTGGTTTGAGGAATTTGGTGCCCACTGCGTGCATCAGGCTCACACAGAAACCTCCTGCAATTAGCTGAGCACAGAAGGGAGTGACTACTGTGATCCTCTTGGAAAACTGGGCTTCTCACAAGGGTTAAACAAGGGGCAAATCCTGTTACAAGTACAAAGTGCATTTGATGCACTTAACTTCTTTCTTCAAGTAACTAAAACCATCCAAAGAAGAGCAGCTCACTAAAAACACATTTCCCAAGAAGGGTGAGGAAGGCAGTGATAACATATGTATGCCCAGATTTGCATTATGAAAAACAATGCTCCTCAATACTCCTAATTTTGAGCTCCCACATCTATCAGCAACTATGGTAGAAATAAATCATCCCCAAAATGTTAAAGAACATGAGTTACTCTCCCTGACAGTCACTCCCACTCACACTGAATGAGTGACCAAACAACTGATCTGGGCACAGCTCAAACACACACATCACCTCTGTTTCAACTGCCAAAAGTGCTACAGCCACACCAGTCCTGATGCATTTTTAAATAAGTGGAGATCACAGTATATATGTCACATGTAAAGTTGAATGGAAAGTGTCAATAAAGTTGTTTAAAGTTGGAGTTTTGTGGGGATTTTTAAACATTCAGATGAATATTTTAAAGCTACAGTATTTGTGAAGACAGTTATCAAGATCTTGTGTGTTTACAGAATCACAAGTGGCAGAATAAACAACATCAGGCACAGAATTGCCATAATGGCCAAAGGAGTCAGAATGAAACATGTTGTTAGAGCAAATATAAGGAATCGAGTACACTGAGCTTAAAAAAATAAGTAGTGGAAAACAGCTGACTGCAATATTTTCAAAGATGTTAAATAAATCAATCTGAAAAAAAACAAAAGCTTAAAAACTGGCAGCAATTTACAGCTTAATTTAATATAACAGTAATGTTATTGTAGGCAAAGAGCAGCAAAAGGCATGATGGAGTGTTCACAGCTACTCAAATCAAGAGGACACTCCTGTCCCCTATGGATAAGGACAAAGTTGATCAAGAAATTATGTTTATTTTTAATGATATAAATATTTTATTGCTTATGTAAACATTGTTTTTCTTTCAAGTCTGTACTTGACTTTTTAAGGTAATTTAATTCAATTTCCTTTAATAATGATTTTTCCTTAATTCCCTCATGTTTACAGCAATCCCAGGGGTTGGAAATTCCACTGGCTCTGTGGCTCCTGGGTGTTTGTCCCCATGAGCTGCCCTGTGAGCACCCAACACTGCCAGCCAAGGGCATCCACACCACTACCAGGGACCAGCATCCAAACCTGCTCACCCCAGTTTGACTGGCACTGTCCCTCTCACTGTGCAAAGGCACATGGGTAACAGTTTATGGGCAGAAATACACATAATAACACATAAAATATGGCTACAATGACAGTTGTCTTAAAACCAGCACCCTGGGCCAGTCAGGACTTTCCTCAGCCAACATCACAACTCTCATCTTGAGTCATTTCGTTATCCAGTCCTTGCACAACCAACACTCCCAGGGAAATCAATGAGGATTCTGGTGTAGGAAATGTGAGATACATTTTAAATATATGCTAAAAATAACTACTTTGAAGCTTGCTTGAACACAAACTTCAGGGGGGAAATTACTACACCATCATCACAATTCCAAGCGTCCTCATAGTTCAAAATGCAGAATGGCTTCAACTTTTCTGTCACACTTTAAAAAGCAAGTTATTCATTTCATTTATTTCCCCAAACAGTTTGCCTTCCAATATAACTGCACAGCAGGGGGTTTTTTATGCATAAAGCCAAAACTCAAACAATTTATCTACTACACAAAAGCAACTCAGAATTCTTGCAGCCGCAGTAAAACGTTGGCTGTAACCCCTTATTCCTGCTTTCAAAAAAACCATGTACTGCAGGGTTAATAAAATGCATGCTGTATTTCAGATGCATGCACTAACGAGGAGGATGCAGTATGTTAAGAGTTGCATAATCTTTATTTATCTTAGTTGCATTCAGCTCTACACTTACCCCAAACTTCTCCACCTCTTCTTCCTGTAAGCAAGAGCCATATACATTGAAGCATGTATTTGAACAGAAAAGCACAGGAAAAAAATAAAACAGTTGAGAGTCAGGAAGAAAGATGTAGACAGGAAAGAACAGAAAAGAAAAAATCTCTAAACAGCAAAATTCTTCTCAAACAATAACACAATGTTTTCATGGAATGCAAGGGCAGGACTTGGCAAACACTTTAATATGGAAGCACATCTATCAGTTTTTTTGTTTAGGTTTAACCTATGAATTGAAAAACCAAACTTGCATTTTTATTTTTTTTTATTTTCTGTAAGTCAAATTCAATTTTGATGGAGTGAGTAAAAACTGTTCAACTCACCCATGTTGCAAAAAAGTGGGATTAAATTTATTTATTCTTTGTATTAGGCCTGCTGGGAGTGTATGAGAAATCATCATCACTATTCAAGTTTATGATGTTGTTTTCTCTTGATTGTTTGCTGGAAAACAAGCCAGTTGCCAAATGCACCTTGAAAGCCTGGATGCTCTCTATTAATCAGTAAAGAACTTGTGAGCAAGTCTCATGTTACCACTAATACACATCCTTTCTTGTTAATTTTTCATCTTCAAAAGCATTTATTTGGTGCTTCATAACACAAACTGATAGATCAAACACCAGAGGCAATGAAAATGAATATAAATGATGTGAAAACATGGAATTATTTTCTTTTAATCTTTGGCACTATCTCTAATATTAGATGCCTAAGCAGTTTATGGCAGTGTGCATAATTTAAATTATGGTCATTAAAGTTTGTTCTGAAATTCTAAAAAAACATACTAAAGGTAACTATTTACTACTAAATTTATTTAATGATTAGACTTCATTAGGTCTTAGAAAGTGCATGGGCCATCAGGGAAATTTATTTATAGACTGATTTCAGCTGTGAATGCCAAAGTTTCTGAAAAGCAAATCACAACTTCTCAGCTTTATAATTTTATGCTAAAAATGAAATTCTGCTAAGTCCAATCCAACAGTATGAAGGTGAATCTCCACTGTGAAACAAACCCCTCTTTAAATAACTTTAAGAAGGATCTGTTACTGTTGGTCCAAACCTCGACTGGGCCGTTTTTAGACTCCCAGAACCACAGACTGGTTTGGGTTGGAAGGGACCTCAAAGCTCATTTTGTTCCAGCCCCTGCCACGGGCAGGGACACCTCCCACTACCCCAGCTTGCTCAGAGCCCCATCCAGGCTGGCTTTAAATGCCTGTATTTAAAAAAAAAATACTTCTGTTTCCTGACAGTCAGCCTTGCAAACAAAAACAGGACAGGGCTGATGATCCTCTGTGCATCCTGACCACTGGAACCCAATCTCTTACACACACTCTGTATCCTTGCATGTGCTGTTTCCTTCCACTGCACAGATGTCACTCAATTCATACATCACAGAGAATTACAGCTGGTGCACAGGTGACCCATGCACTGGAATTTTGGGTGGATAAAGCACATTTCACCCAAAATCTGTCCACTGTCTCCCCTCTGAGCTCTGCACTGCTGGGGGCGCAGCTCATTTTTGACATAGAAACCATGGGGCCACTCAGCATGAGACCTTGTCCCCAACTCCCCATCCGAACTGCACCCTGAGTGTCCCCAACTCCCCTCCCAAACTGCACCCTGAGTGTCCCCAACTCCCCTCCCAAACTGCATCCTGAGTGTCCCCAACTCCCCTCCCAAACTGCATCCTGAGTGTCCCCAACTCCCCCCCCAAACTGCATCCTGAGTGTCCCCAACTCCCTCCCAAACTGCCTCCTCAGGGGTTTTGTCTGGCCTGTTACTTCAGGCAAACTGAAGTGCAAGGAGAGGGGACCAGCACCCTTCCTGCAGGGATCTACGGGACCAGCACGGACACAGCAGAGCTGCTGATGCTTTTACTTCAGCCAGTGGGAAGAAAACGGATGCAGGAAGTCATTTAGTTCCACTAAATATAATCCAGAGCTAATCAGCACCAGATTAGAAATTATGTTGCTTTTATTCTGCAGTTTGTTAACACAGAGCCTGATGATGTTCAGTATCAAGATAAAAAGAAATAATAAGAAAAATAAGCCAAGAACACACCCTCCACCTGCTAAAGCCTGAGAACATCAAACATTATGTAGGTGGGACAAGCTGTGCTCAGAACAAATAAAAAAATATTTTGTTTGATTTTAATGTTATCAGTGGGTTTTTGTTTTGAAGCAACATTTCAGATTTATATAAGGGTGATTTAGGTGCTTTTTATCTCTCTCATATATAGGTATTATACCCCCCTAACATTGTATATCTCTCAAAACTCTACTGACACTAACATTTTTATTTAGCAAAAATATGTATCACTAAAATTAGAACCCATTCTTCAGTGTGTTTTAAAGACAATAATTTGGTTTATTAGTCATTAAAAGCAGCTCTGGGAAGCATCACCTGTAGTGGCATAATTTGCTAAAGATGGTGGTTTGGTGGTAAATGTCAGTGGTGAGGCACACAATGGAACACCAACGTCCTGATGCACACACAGCCCCAGAGCCCCCCCTGAGACCCCTCCAGTGCCCTTCCCAGTGCACACCTTTGCCTGAACATCACGGCTGGATCCATGTTTGCCGAGGTCATTCGGACAACTTGCCGGATTTCCTTGGCAATCATCCGCAGCTTCTCGAAGTTCACCAGGCCATCCACTTTGGAATCGTTGCCTGCATAATTGAGACACACACAAAAGAGAAAAGAAAAAAAAAAAAAAGAGTAAGAAATTCTTCAGAGTGACCCCATGTTGCCCTCCCTGCCCTCCCATCAGCAAAACTTTTAATCAAAACAGCAGGAAAACAGGAAGCTCTGGCAAAACACTAATGGAATCAGGCCCACTCGCAGTACCTTGTATTGGTATCTTGTACTGGCCCTTGTTAATCTAGTTCTGAAGTAACAAGCGTTAGTTGGAGTAAAAAGCAATAAATGAACTATGCCCGAGTTCACTGGCATGATGTTAAAATAAAAATACAGAACTGATGTGGACAGCATTCCCATTTGGAAAGAAGTTCAAACAGTTCTGAGCCATCACAACCAAGAACTGGGCATATTTGGAAATGTTTCACCTCAGCCACTTGTGAACAGGACTTTGTGTAAACGGAACAAAATGGAAATGTCTAAACAAAACCTCCTGAAAATGCTGAAAGCAAGAGTAGGAGGTGTTGGAGCTGCCTGAAAGCCACAACATGGAACAAAAACCTGGAAACATCACAGCAACAAGTTCTTTTTTTGTGAGAGAATATATTTGAAGTAGTGCAACTACCAGCCAGCACACCCACCTGTGCTTCCAGCCTAAACCTGAGGACAGCTGATGAAGTCTAAGCATTGCTTTTCAATTATTAAAAATATGCATTTAATTTTTAATTTTTGTCTAGCATCAGTCTCTTCCACTCAGCATTCCGAGTCCTATTTTACTTTCCTCCTACAAAGGACCCATCAAAAGCATTCCACTGGTGGCAGCTTCCTGAGACACGTGTTGACACGAGGAGCACTGAAGAAAGGGCTAAAGCATATTCAGTGTTCTCCCTGTTTGACATTACCTTCATGCAGGAACGTGATATCCTTCTTGACAACAGGGAAAAGTGGGATAATTGGAGGCTGCATGCTCTGGCTGCTCAGGATGTTGCGGTATTTTGCCATGTTTCGAGAGGGATCAAAAAGATCTTGAAGGTCTCTGAGGTGCTTTTCATACTTGCTGGGTAACTTTTCCCAAGTGCCTCTGAGCCGAGCTACTGGTGCAAGATTTAACCCACTGCAAGGCAGGAAGGTTTCATGGTTAGCTGTGGTCAGAACTGCTGCATTTCAGAAGGAAATGAAAGGTTGTTTTAAGGATTAAAAATAGTTTTCCCAAGGTTAAATGTAAAGCTGGCTGGCTGCCAGACTACAAGTTCATCACAATAAACCTCTGCTGGTTAAACAGGACTGTAAAAGCCACAACTGCTTCCTATGCACAAGGTACAGATTTCCAATTACTGCCAAAATAATCACTCTGTAAAATAGGACTAATGTCTGTTTAAGAACCACTTCTCTCCTGTAGAAATGGTTATCACAATAAGGACAAAAGGGGTAGAGAATGAATGAGTTGAAGTAATGGTTGCACAGCAAATGAGAAGAGTGCAGAGCTCATCCCAAGCAGAAGTGGGAAGATTTTAGGAAGAAATTCTTCCCTCTGAGGATGAATTTTTTCAGATTTTTTTTTTGAAAGCTTCAAAAAACTTGTTTTGAATTTGGTTCATTTTTCATATGGATTTCTCTCCACGCTATGCCAAACAAAGCCTTCTCTGACAAGAAAAATCCAACATATGCCAGCCCACAGCTCCTCTTTTCCATGCTAGTTTAGGATGGTTATCTTCCTATTTCAGGAGACATATGGCATCAAACTGCTGTGCAGGACAAGGCAAGAAAGACAACCCCTGTGCCATATGCTAAGAAAAACATATTCCTCTGGAAATAAGGGTAAAACAGTAACCAATTTATTCGCCTTTTTTTTTTTTTTGACCAAAGTCCACTTCAGTCATGGCCTGATTAGACTTAACTGAGAAGCAGGAAGAGTCATTTCTCCACCTACAATAAACCATGAGAAATTAGGGAGCAGAATATAAAAATGAGATTCAGTATCCACGTGTGTATTCACCATGTAATGAGCAGCCCCAGCCCCAATTGCTGCCCAGTCCTTTTGAAGGAAATTCATGAATTCTTTAATGTATGACTAACCAGAAGCCAATACCCTTTGATAAACTGGTTAGACATGGAAGAAAATATTTTATAATGGCATTTTCAACAATGGTGCTGGGATACAGCACAAATCCAGATCTTTATCTGATGAATCACAGTGCCTTTTTTTTCCCCCTAAAGTAAAGGCTGGGTGTAAGATAATTGCAAATAAAGGAAATGCTGAACTCATGCTGTTAAAGTAGCAGCATTCAGGATAAATCAGAAGAGAAAGTCTAAATGTGCAATTGAAGAGGGGAAAAAATAAAATAGACAAGCAAGCAGATGACAGGAAAGAATGAAAAGGAAAATTAAGCCAAAACAAGACGGATTTGAGGAAGTCCTTACAATGGAAGGAAGAAATGAAGTAATCTCATCATCACAGATACGACTCAAAAAAAAGTAACAATGACTGACAAAGGGAAGGGAAATTGGGTGCCAAAATCATGGAAAATGACACAATGCTCAGGCAGGTTCCTGAGGTTCATCAATCCAACAGTGCTTTGTCCCAGTCTTCTCTTTCCCTGGGAGGTAACAGGTAAAAGAGAGACTGTCACATCCAGCACCTGGATGGGACTGAACCGCTGCGGTGACAATCCACCTCGGACCAGGCTGGCTCTGGAAAACCACCCAGATCCATCTGTAATGTGCCCAGGATGATCCTATTTCTTCCCTTTCAGCTCAGATTACCAGAATTGCCTCTGACAGCACCAATCAGAGCTGAGAAACGGGAAGTATTTTACCTTATAACCGCGAACATGGAATTGAAGTTCTTGCATTCCCGACAGTGGAGAGCGATTTTAATGAAATGCTTAATAATCTTCATTCTTTTCAGCTGGTTGGGCTCTGCTAAAATTTCCATGGCAACCCAGAAGGTCTCTTGGTTTATGACATCCTCGAACTGTTTCAGGTGAGCGTTCCCTGTTTTGGAGTCCAGCTTGTAGAGGTCATCGATGTACTCCGTGGGCTCGATGTTGCGGAACAGCTCGAAGTCCCTCATGGAGAGCTGGGTGGCCACCTCGATGGTGCTCAGCTGGAGCAGGGAAATTTGGCTCTCCCGGAGCAGCTCCTGAGCATCCTCGTCTGAGCATAAGGTCTCTGTCTCCATGTTGTTTTTTAGATAATACCTGGAGAATAATGGAGTGACAGTGACCCGTTAGAGATGCTCTTCAGAGGGTTTGTGAACACAAGGACGTTGAACTGCACCAATCAACGTGGGCATTACAGAGACAAGAAGGGGCAGGATAACCTTGTACTTCAGCTAACGTAAAATAACATCATTACTTAAGCAAACAAACATTTCAAAAGCTGTTTTAATCTACCTCTTTGTTATCGTTTTATACCGTACTCTGTAATATGCTGTAGTGTTCACCTTCAGAAGAAGGTCAGTTACTTTTCCATTTGTAAATTCAGCAGTGAAAATTACATTTTAAATACACACTAGTCCCGAGAAATCTCCTGTTAATGTCTTTCTCCATTTCTTACACAAATTCAGTGTGGTTTCTTCCATAAATTTACTGTGGCATAGTAATATTTACATGAGGCGCAGAGTATTCAGGAAATGAAAATGTATCTGGAAAATTCATTTCCACAGTCCCAAGCAGATCACTTTCAGATACACAAAAGTTTATTACTCATAAATTCCCTCTTGTTGCCTAGCAAAGACAACTACAGAATTTTTCACTTTAATAAACTTTCTTCTGGTCTGGATCAGGTCATCAGATAAAACCAAAGCACTTAACGTTTCAGAAGGATTCAGAACAGTTTACATAAAAATGGCAGAATTTATCTCAGGTTAGTATCAGTTCATTGCAACACAGCACTGAGGAAAGAATTAATTGTATGCTTTAATCCTCAAGTACATGTGGGAAGTGTCAGAACAAATATAAATTTTTTCTCCAAGTGTAAACCACTATATATGTTATATAGCTGATCTGCTAAATTTAGCTGTCATCAAGTGAGCTGGCTGTAGGTTTGGGGAGGAGTTTTGGGTGCACAACACGAAGGTGACACAAGAGGAGAGAGAAAAGTGTCATTTATTGGTATTTGACTGCTTGTCCTTCTAACAGACAACCGGCCTATTTTAATTAAAACATCCCCCGTGGTGATCTGGGGGGTCTTTTCCAACCTTAATGCTTCCACGATGTTTTAATCCTAAAAGGCAACTAAAACCAGAGCACAAGTGCTGTGAGGAGAGGCTGAGGGAGCTGGGGCTGTTCAGCCTGGAGAAGAGGAGGCTCAGGGGAGACCTCCTCACTCTCTGCAACTCCCTGACAGGAGGGGGGAGCCAGGGGGGGGTTGGTCTCTTTTCCCAGGCAACCATCAGCAAGACAAGAGGGCTCGGTCTTCAGCTGTGCCAGGGGAGGGTTAGGTTGGATATTAGGAAGAATTTCTTTCCAGAGAGGGTGCTCAGCCATTGGAATGGGCTGCCCAGGGAAGTGGTGGATTCTCCGTCCCTGGAGGTTTTTAAGATGAGACTGGATGTGGCATCAGTGCCATGGGCTGGGAACCACAGCGGGGTTGGATCAAGGGTTGGACTGGATGATCTCAGAGGTCCCTTCCAACCCAGCTGATTCTATGATTCTATGATTAATCCTAAAAGGCAACTAAAAGCAGAGCAAACCAGGGGCACGTTTACCTTCCGTTGAGCTGGATCCTGTCGGCCAACTTGGAGAACTGATCCGGGAGGCGCCGCTGTTTGATGACGCCCTCGGGGCTGACGGACACCTCACACAGGGAGTAGGTGTCAGGGGCCCCTGTCAGGTTGAACTCGTGCACAGCGTGGCTCACCACCTCCTTGGCTGTGGTGTCTTTGCTGATGATGATGTAACAGCTCTGCTGATCCGCTTTGAAAACTCTTATCACCTGATCCGGGATATCTAAAAGAAGAGGAACACCTTTGGTGGGTGAAGTTACTTTTCCCCTTGAAAAGACACATGGTTTGGAGAGCAGCTTTTCACAAGGGCAGGTGGTGACAGGACAAGGGGGAATTGCCTTAAGCTGAAGAAGGGGAGGTTTAGTTAGATTGGATATTAGGGAGAAATTCTTCCCTGTGAGGGTGGTGAGGCCCTGGCACAGGTTGCCCAGAGAAGCTGTGGACTCATCTCTGGAAGTGTCCAAGGCCAGGCTGGACGGGACTTGGAGCAGCCTGGGCTAGTGGAAGGTGTCCCTGCTCATGGCAGGAGGTTGGAACTGGATGGGCTATAAGGTCCCTTCCAACCCAAACCATTCTGTGACTCTAAGACTGTCTCATTTGATAGCCAGAGAACAAAACAAAAACCAGCTGCTGGGAAACAAAAGCCATGCTGGACTTGAAAAATATTAAAATATTCTGCTTCTTCCTTCAACTTTGAGAGGAAAAAAGAAGACTCTTCTCATCAGTGCTTTTCCACAGCTCAATTCCTTTATCATCCCATGACCACAATCAAAGTACAAGACACTCAGTACGTCCCTGAGCTGTGCATCGTGCTTCCCAGTGGGTCTCAAAAACTTTGGCAGCATCATTCCTTCTCTGGCTCTTGTGTGTTTGTGAGAGCCAGGTCCACACACGTGCCAGGGCACGTTTCCCAGGGATGGATGGGCTTGGGGTGGGAGGATGTGAAGAGGAAAGGAGGTTTGGTTGCTCCCATAACTAGCTGCGAGCTTTCACACTCGCTCTTTCCCCCTGAAGGAACTAAGCTGCTGCCAGCAGTTAATTCTTTGGCTGGTGTACTTATTTATAGCACATTTTATGTATTATAAATGCATTAGAGAACAGCTTTATCTGAGGCAGCCTACAGCAGGAAATAAATATCTACAGAAACATGCGTTGAATCCACAGCTTGATGATTGCAAATAATTTGCTCCATTAGTTATTACAAAAAGCTTGATTTTCAAAATAAAACTCACTGGAAAAAAAATGTCCAGAGTAAAAATACACACTAATTCCAAGCACAGGGAAACCTAGCTTTTCCCCTCCCTAAAGTCTGAAGACTAAACTTCATGTTAATTTTCCTCTAATAAAATCCACTGTTTCAGGAAAAAAAACAAGATCTTTGGGGGCAGTGACCTTGGGATAACTTTTTCTTGTGTCAGGACTTAATGGTGTCATGGGGACAAGTAGCAGGAATTTCAGGGCAAATGTTAAGCAGGTAATCTGTGGTCCAGCATCAAAAGTTTCCAGCCACTGGAAAAAAGAAAGGCTCAATATCAGTTGTAAATAAATTTGAAGATGGGAGAAAACAGGGTTTGGAAAAAAAATCTGATTGAAAGCTAATTCCTCTAACAGTTTCATTATTAGGGTTATCACATTACCAGGACATTCTCATTAGTAGTTAGGGACTAGCTGAATTTGAAAAGCTCAATATATACATGAATAGGGGCAATAAAGGGAATAAATAACTATTCTGTCCTTGTTTCAGAGTGAAAGTGGTAGAAATGACATCCTGGATAATCAGGGAAGTGCCTGCACTCATAAAAATCATAATAAACCAACAGAAAAGGGAAACATCTATACTTCAGTATCAACATACCTAAAAATCAGAACACACTCAAGATGTAAGACTGAAAACTGAAGTTTAATTTGGGGGGAAAAAAGGAAAAAATAAAATAAAAATAATCACTATGCAACCAAAACAATGCAACATGTGACAGGGGAAAGAAACATAAATTACAGGCACATGTCTGTCTTCATGGTCTTTGCTTTTAAGTAGGTATACATTATTAAATTAAATGGTTTTTTATGCATTGTTCAGCTTGTGTCAACAATACAAAGCACATTTCCAGTTTGCATGCACAGCATTTTAGTTACAGAGTCCAACAGAAGAGCAAACTAAATCTCAAACTACGTTATCATCCAAAACTTCAGCTCTATAAGAGATATAAGCAACTTCATTCCTTCAAAGCCAGGCCACAGAGAAGAGAAGAAACTGCCAAAGGTCATCCAGTGTTTCAGTGGCAGAAAAGGGAATAAAATGCAGGTCTCAGCACAGCACTGTGCCTGTGTGAGAACCTATGGATTTGTTTTATTTGAGGAAGCTTACAGGGCACCGGGCTGTGGGATGCCCTACAGTAATAACTGTGTCAATGCAGTGTCTGGTAGTGTTAAGTTTTCAGGCAAGCCATGCAATATTAAGGTCTACAGGATGCTGAACATCAGGATACTTACAGTAAAACCCAACAGCTGCAGGCAGGAGAAAAAGAAGAAAACTGTGTCAACAGCAAATCAGGATTCAGATGTTTACAAAACTTATCAAGTGTACACTGTCAGAACTAGTTTGGTTTTCTCTGCTCTTTAAATGTGGCAGCATATTTGTTATAGCAAACCTGAAGTAAAGGCAAGTGATGTAGGTAGACATGTCCCTGCCCAGGCAGGGGGGTTGGACTGGATGTCCTTTAAAGGTCCTTCCATCCCAAACCAGCCTGTGATTCTGTGACTGATTCCAAGATGAACTAGTTATCAGACAGCAAGAACCTGGAACTGCAGCAAAAAGGGAACTTTTCTGCTATGGATATTTATGACCTGATAGGATATATCTGGGTACATCCCTTTTAAAGGGGAAATCTGCAAGTTTACATAAACATAACTCACAGCCACAAGGCACCTTACAGACTATGTAATTATGCACAGAACTTACACTTGAAATAGGGAAAAAAGATTCTGACTTGACATGTTTACAGGCAGCTGCATATCACAACAAATAACTCCTGCAGCCACCCCATAAACTGGATTCCTACAGCAACGAAAGCCCACACTACACATCTCAAAACATTTTAAAGGTTTTCAGACACACAGTCGAACATACATAATGTTTGTAAAACACAAAACATTAACATCACTGTGTTGGTAGCACAGCAGTCCTATTCTATCCACAACACTGCTTGAAATATATACTGGCAGATGGGGGATGGACAAGCCAAAGCACCAGTACAGGTAAAAGAGAAAGGTGCAGACAAGGACAATCTGCTTCCACCAGAGCAGATTTACTCCAGTGAATCAATGTCTTTGTAAAAAGAAGTGTCACATTACAAATAGAGCATGTAGGAGAGGTTCAGGCAGTGTGGATTTTCAGCAGAGCTCCAGTGTGGCCCTGTTGAAGCCACAGGACAGGTGGGTAACTGCACTCAGCTCGTGTGATGCTGGTGAAACGCATCATTTCCCCCCCGACCCTGCCCTGTTAATCATCCTGTACAAACCAAGCTCCTTCTGCTGTTTTACCTGAGGGGTTAGAGAAGTCCAGGATGCTGGTTGTGGGCTGGAGCAGGTCAGGGCTGCTGGAGGAGAGCGTCCCTGGGATGGGCATGATGGCCAGGCTGTGGCGGCACTGCCGTGTGCCCACGATGCTGTCGTCCTGCGACTGGCTCACGCTGCCGTCACTGCAAAACAGCTCTGCCTCACTCGTGGGCACTCAAAACTCCTGCTACTCAGCTTGGGGTGAATGAAACTAAGGGAAATAACGCTGTTCAGCTGCTTAATTACATGTTGTGGACAGGGTTTCAAAACGAGGACAGAGCGAAAAGAGATTTAAAATCGTTCACAGGGAGAGAAAAGATGCTTTGGTCTCGTTCTGTATTTATGGGGCAGGTGACACGATTTTTTAAAAAACATAAGTAGAGTGGACATAATGACTAGAGATACTAAGCAATTAGTATCTCTTAATGGCCTTAGCTGAAGGAGGGGAGGTTTAGATTTGATCTTAGGAAGAAATTCTTGGCTGTGAGGGTGGGTAGGCCCTGGCACAGGTTGCCCAGAGAAGCTGTGGCTGCCCCTGGATCCCTGGAAGTGTCCAAGGCCAGGTTGGACAGGGCTTGGAGCAACCCCTTGGTAGGGGGTGGAATGGGATAGACTTTAAGGTCCCTTCCAACCCAAGTCATTCTATGTTTCCATTATCAAAGCATCACAGCCTAACGAGGAACAACAACTTTTTGGCAGAAGAGTCTGACAAACCTGAACAGTTTTGGAGGCAAGATGCTGAACCGGGTCTTGTCTAAGATTTTCCTGATTCTGTTTCTGCCACCAGATACAGTGTTTGCTTTCATTTTCTTGTTTCCTTTTTCCCGGGGAAACATCTGTTCCACATCTCCAGGCATATCTGGGATGGAATAACGGTTGTTTTTCTTTTCTGCAATTTTTGGAATATGTGGAATTCCATTCTTCTCTTGTCCTATCCTGCAGAGCAGCTCCTTGAACACTGTGAGAGAAGACACAATCATTGTGAGTTACCTTTGCACGCTCAGAACTTCACAGGGAATTCTTCTTTCCCCCTCAAACCTTTTGCTTTCCACATCCCAAATTGATAATAAGGATTCAGGGTAATCAGCACCATGTATTTACTGGCTTTTTTGTTTGCCTGTTTTTGGTAATGGAGTGCAGATGCTTCCTCAAGAATAACTGCAGCACAGACTGAGATTTTCCCAAACTGCCCTTGTTTGCTTTTCCTAACACTACTGAACAGAAGCTGCATCAAATTTCCTACTGCATTTATCAAGTTAAGCCAGTCTATTACCCACACTGACATTCCCAAAGATATGATTCCACAGAAATGTTTATGTTCTTCCTGTATCTTTCAACATATATAAGGTGAAAAAAAAAACGTTCAAATTGGTTTTTCAATATCAATTATTTCTTTAAAGATCTTTTAAAAATCCTCTGAAATCACTCAAGTCAGAAAGTCAGTATTTTCTGTTGAAAACAAGGTGATACTGGAAGAATGCAGAACTGTACACAGTAAATTACTCAGATTGTCCCTATGAACAGGGAAACCACAGAAAGTACAGAAAGTCCAGTTAAATTGCATAATTCTATTATACAATAAAACTTATAAGTTTTCCCAGTCTACATTTGAATATAACAGGATTTGCTCATTGCCAGCACCAGGCACTCAATTAAAAAGTCACTGTATAATAAGTATCACTGTTAAAAAAAGCTTCAAGACATGAATCCATTAAAATTTATCCAAGAAATCACCTTGAAATTCTATCAGCCAGTAGGAAGAGATTAGAACCCATCTGTAGATGTATGTTGCTTATATTTATAATACAAATGAACCCTCTCACTGTCTCAGTTACAGTGATGCTTCATTCCATGTCCTTCCACATTAGTCTGGACCACTGGTGGTGGTTTTATTCTCTTTTTGAATTATGCTAATAATCAACTGCTGAGGGTTTGAAACTTTTTACCCATGCAGGGATAAACACTGAATATTAATTGAAAAGAAAATCAATAGTGAGCAAGGGCAGGTAACTGGGGGAAGAAAATAAGGAAATCATCAGAAGGTCTTGGATGCAACTATGGGGGAAGGAGTTATTCTGTGCACAGCTTCTGTAGCTCTGGTTATTCTGAACAGGATTATGGAAAAAGAACAGATGATCTGACTGAGATTTTAAAGAGGTCTGTATGTATTTGTATTCATGATGACAATTAAGGGCCAGCATTTATATGCCACAGCACTTCTTATATCCCCTTTTCAATTTGAGACATAAAGACAACCTATCCCCCCATCCTCACAGCCATTATAAAAACTTCCACAAAACCCCAGTTTTACGTCTTTGCCGTTTCTTGGCAAAAATATTTTTGGTCCAGCTCCCTTGGCTCAGCTTCAGCCACACAGCATGGAGGGACAGTAAAGCAGCTTAAAGAGTCACTGAGGGTTTCTCAGGGAGGGAAGAGCTGCCTGTGCTGGCTCTGTGCCCCTCAACATGCAGCCCTTGGCACACGAGAACTTATCCAAGCAAACAGAGGCACAACGAGGGGACCTCTGCACAACTTCTCACTCCCAGAGCGAGCTGGAAAGGAAGGTGGAATCCTATTGCACTTCTAAAGCCAGAAAGAGTGGAGTTGTTCCTTCACATACACAAGGAACATATCATATATAAAGTCTACTCACCAAAAATGTTTGTTTTTACAGTAATGGAGAGATGTGTGTTGTTCCTTAAGATTTCCAGGGCTTTCACAAAGGTGATGTTCTCAAAGTTCTGTCCGTTTACTTCCATTATCTTTAAGGAAAAGTAAGAATCAGGCTATTAGGAAAACATCTGTTTGACAGACTTACAAATACAAAGGTGATAATACAGGCACAGTAAGAACTTTCCAGAAGTTCTCATGTGATCTTTACAGCAACCTCAGAACCAAACCATTCCTTGTAAAATAATTATTTTCATCATGTCAGTGAAGTTATATCCTGTAAATAAGACAGGACCTCCATTTCTACCTGACAAATGCTTGAAATAACTTTATTTTTTATGGTAACATGACATTCTTGCAAATAATCAGGAATTTAGAATCTGAAATGTAACAGATATAAATGGAAGTTGAGCTGTGGCATTCCCAAGAAAACCCTTGCACAACCTTTTTGTTGAGAACACCAGAGTTGGCTGAACCAGAATATTTAAATTAACATTACTGCTTTTACCTGATCACCACGCTTGAGTCCAGCCTCTGCTGCTTTACTGCCCATCTCCACAGTCTCTACAAAAATACCAAAGCCCTTGTCACTGCCCCCGAGGAGGCTGAAAAACAGGGGGGAATCTCTGGAAGGTTTTTGCAGCGTGATTTGTCTCCATTTTGCTTTGGCAGCACAGGCAATATTCAACAATCTGAGATGGCCTTTCATCTTCTGTAACACAACACACAAAATGCAGTGCAATCTTTTTATCAGAAATGGAGAGTTATGAAAAATACCCCAAGTGTCAGCAAATAGATTTTTGATGCCATGTATTAACATCTTATTAAATAAACCTTGTCCTCTTTTGCAGAAATGCAAGAACCCATAAATGAGTGCCAGAGGTACTCCTTTATATGGCCTTTATATCTAAATATATATATAACAACAAATATGTCCATGTTAAAAGCCACCTGTAGCTGTTACATTTATAGACTACAGTGTGTGAGGCACTGGTAACACTGGAAAATTGAAACATGGTATTAGAAAATGTGACACTCTTTCTTTTTGGCTCCTACCGTATCTTCCAAGTTCTTTTCAAATTCTTCCAGGAATCGAGTCATGGCAGGATCTCCTTCAAAGTCATTAAAATGATTGTTCACCCACAGTAAGACCACTCTGGTAACCTGTAAAAACAGAATAAATTCTCTGTGTGTGTATATATGTATATCCACATATACACAAAGGTATCTATGATTCTTCTCCTATCAGCTTTAATCTATAAAGAAAGAAGAATACCTGGACATGGCAGAATAACAGATTACTGTTAGGTTTCCTTCAGCTCAAAACTAGAACACATAAAACCACTGGCTAAGAATTTTACTGCCATAATTTTCAACATATTGACACGACACAAGTTCCAGACTATCCACATTTTTCATGTGTGTGCACAGGGTTACAGAGAACTGAACCTGGTTCTATTTCTGGAAGCATTTTTACCAACTCCACTTGTTTTGAGCAGAGTTTATTTGAAGTCCAGAGTTTGTAAAAAGCTGCTCAAACAAAATGTGCTCAAAACACTGTAAAGCTCTGCAGTAGAAATCATGGAAAACAAGCACAGTGCTGTTGTAAAAAGAAAACCGGAATGTCCAAGAGAACCTGAACACAATTCCCTTAAATTTCTGGTGAAAAAGGGTTTCAGAGACTGGCATCTTACTCTTTATATTAAACAGAAAACACTATTTATCATTCTGCAGAAGAGAAGCAGCATCACACCTGATTTTGGATAGTACACCATCACACACAACACCCTGGAGAATCCTTTCTTGATATAAGTGAAAAATACTTTGCTTTAAAATGTTTCATATAAAATAACTGAAGCACAATCCTAGTTTATCACAATACAAAAAGGAATCCATCTGAACACATTTTCACCAGCAACACTGATCTCTCAGACTCAACCAACCTTGTCCCTGAGACTGTCCACTGTGAACCATTCCAAGAGTTTATTTCCAACTTCCAAGGGGCTTGTTAGAAATGTTCTGTATGTTAAAAGGAAATCTTCGATGTAGGTGGGATCCACAATAGAATGTTCTTCTATTAAGTGCATGATGAGTCTCTCAGGTGTTGCCTTAAAAAAGTAAATGCAAAAAATAACTGGTACCTCTCATCTCTACCTCTCATCCCTCCCTCTCCCTAAAGAGTATTTCAACATAAACCCAGGTGAACAGTATAATCCCTTTACAGAGTTCAATTATGGCAAACTCAGGAGAAAACACACCAACATGTTTAAATCAAATCTTCCTGTTTCTCTCAGCCCAGATGTTTTGTATTTATTTACTAATGAAAAAACGATTAATGGACAGCATAGAAAGAAATTCACCTTGATAACTATGTGGCCTTTCCTGGTTCCACTGCGATCCAGCTCCCTGTGCTCCTTTACCATCACAATTTCTCCCTCTTCCTCCACTTTATGAGTGTTTTTTTCCACATGGTTCAGAATCCTCCAGTAGTCTTGCTGGGCTATACACACAAACTGTCCCCAGACAACAAGAGACTGTGAATAAACATCTAAACCATGAACACATGCCCTTCTGCAGGCTGTACAACCCCAGCTCTCCCAGCCTGACCCCACAGCAGAGATGCTCCAGCCCTCTGAGCATCTTTGTGGCCTCCTCTGGACCTGCTCTAACAGGTCCATGTCCTTGTGCTGAGGAGCTCAGAGCTGGAGCCAGTGCTCCAGGCAGGGTCTCAAGAGGGGAGAGTCCCCACACTTCTTCTGATGCAGCCCAGGATGCAGTTGGGCTCTTGGCTTATATCCAGCTTTTCATCCACCCCACCGTATCTTAGGATAAAAGTAGTCTGTTTTCTTTTATTAGATGCTTAAAAATACAAGGTAGTTGTACAGAGCTGCAATCTCACCTGACAATCATCTACTTTGGTTCTGACCACTCCATTCATGTACTGTTTGTCCAGAGAGGGAGTAATCCCAAAGCTATTTCCCATACAGAGACTCTCACTCTTCCCATCAGGATAGCTGATTTCCACTGTGCCATTTAAAATAACATACCAAGAGTCGAGCTAGAGGAAGAAAAAGAACCAAAAACAAACAAGTGAAGCTAATTCAACAACTTTTCTAAGCTCTTTATCTCAGACAGGTTCATTCCTGCACTCTCCAGTTTGTTGCCCCCATGGCTCTGCAACATTTCATTCACTGAAACGGTGCAGTGCAAGGCAGAAAGGAAGATGACTGAAACAAGAATGCTTCATTCACTTCAGAACTAATTCCAGAGGGAGGAATGCTGATGAAGAGATTGCTTTTTTAATCTGTGGGCTAATTGCTATGATATATTTATACCATTTAGTGAGAGTGAACACTCTTCCCCTGGGCACCCGTTTGGTCACTACCAGAGATGAGTCTACCTCGTCCTCTTGGAGGGATGAACAGGGAATGCCATTCCTGATGGCTTGATCCAAGCAAAGGGAAAGATCTCAAGACAGTGATTCAGGGCACCTAACCTGAACATCTGTCTCCTCCCAGGGAACATGTATGGAAACTGCTCCTAATTTAGACATTACTGGGCAAAGATACCCCTCCATATTAGTATTAAAAACCCCCTACATTATAAGAAGAGAGGTTTTTTTCCCCAATGGAAATTATGCTTTTTTTATCCCACAAATCATCTTTGAGATAAGTTGGCATTTACCTGATAACAACATCCTGAATGCTCTTTAATGTCTATACTTGGTATATAAAGTATATACCTGGTCTATACTTTGACTCTACTTGGTAGAGTTAAAGTCTTGAACCAGACAGTAACCATCACAGAATGGTTTGGGTTGGAAGGAACCTTAAAGATCATCTCATTCCAACTCCCTCCACGGGCAGGGAACCAACACACAGGTAGAATCTCCCTGAGGGATGGACAGAGGTTAGGGGATTTTGGCTACAGGGTCAGGGTGAGAGAAGAATTCTCTAACTTCCAGGTGTGGAGATAGGAAACATTTTCCAGCCCTTCAGCCTCAATGCCCTTGGTGACCTGCCTGTGGCACTGACTCACCTCCTGGCCATCCTCGAGGATGATGGCTCCTGCTTGCTCCACCACTTCAAAGATCATCACTGAGCAAAGCTCTCTTCTCACAGACATGGTCATGTTTGCAAAGGCAGGGAGTTGATGCATAAATTCCAATAATTGCTCTGTTGGACAAAGGAAACACTGGTAGGACGACTGCAGGGCCCAGGGGCTCCTCAGATCCCTCACCCTCCCCAGGTCTGTCAAACCTCAGCCACATTCACAATTGCTCAGTGGGGTCACACTCCCCATTAGTGCCTGGGGCTAAATGAGCCCAGTGTGCACTTTGTCATCCACAGCCAGAGCTCAGCTCTGCAGCCTGGCTGGGGCTCTGATTGACTCTCAGGGCAGCAGTCTAGCTAAGAGGAGAAGCACTTCAGCTTCAAACATTGAGAAAAATTAAAAATACCCCTAGGTACAGTAATTACAAGCTTGACAGGAGCATGAAATGATTTTCCAGTGTTCAGAGAGGCAATCTGGAATACAGCAGAAAGCAAGTTTTGCTATTGAAGTTAATGCCAACTTCTAGTTAAACACTGCAGCAAATTATCTTCATTTGAACTGTTCTGCAGTTTACAGCTAAGTATATCTATACTCAGTAATAGTATGTTCTCTTTGCTATTTAGTAACTAATTCAACAGTTTCAGGCAGTCAAAATTACCTTGCTGCCTGTCCCATTACATCAACACACACAATGACTGTGTATACTTCACATCTTAAGCATCTCAAAGACTGGTGGTTAAAATATTTAGTTTTTCAGAACAAACAGTCTCTCAGACAGTAAGAGGAGAAATCATTCAATCAAGAGTATCACTAGTGCAAAGTGATCACTGGAAGGCATCACTCAATTAATAAAACACACACTGAAAATTAAGTCACTGAACAGTTTTCAGATATACTTCTCTTACAGATACTATACGATGCAGTTTTATGTAAATTTCTGTATTTTTTCTCCTCACCAATGTCATCATCAGTTTTATCTGCAGGCTCTTTCTCAAGGCACTCTCGGACAACATCTCGCCCTAGAAGTGGATCAGAAGTTCTGTCAATGTCTTCATCCTCCTCCTCTTCTTCATCTTCAGAGTCTACAGGTGCTTCTGGAAGACCCGTTAAATCAACATCTCCCATCTCACTTTCTGTGGCCTACAAAGAAAACATCAAATCAGACAAAGAGTTCAGTGTCTTCAGTTTAAACATTTATGGTCTGACAAAATAACAAATAAATTCTATGACCAACAAGTCAAACTAGAAACTGCAACAGCTCCCTTTCTGAACACTGAGGAAAACACATCGTGCTGAAATCTACAGTTAATGGATTCTCACTTTATAGTATTTACTAGTTCTTGTGAATTCATGTAAAATTGTTTTTTCATAAGTGGAGTCTGTATTAATTATGAAATAATAACGAAGTTCAATTGGTTACCCAATGCCTATAGACACATTTCTACTGTCAGCAATAGAGGGCAACACAGAGATCACAGTGAGCAGACACACGAGGTCACAGTCAAAGAGAACACAATACATGCAACCAAAAGCAGAACCACATAGGAATCGTTTGCACTAATTCCTTCTGTAAAGTTTAAATGATGTAATTGCATGAAAATAAATTTCCAAACAGATGGAAGGGGGGGGGAAAGAAGTTTCAAATTCTCAGTTTCTACAGAGTAGTTGCTCAACCACTCTTTTTGAAGTTTAAGCCAGCATGCAAATCATTTTTCTGTTCAAATTCAAAAATTTCAGCAACAAGATGTGTCACTGTGAAGTATAAGGCAATTACAGAGAAACTTGCAGAAAACAGGAGTTTGTTTTTAAATGAGCACATTTACAACACTCACTTTCACTTTAAAAGAAATCTTTGAGATTCTACAAAAACACTGAACTAGCTAAGGCATCAAACACTGCACATTCACTAAACCTCCAAAACAGAGGATGAATGTGAACACTGTGATGGGGCAGCACAGCTTCTCTGGGCAACCTGTACCAGTGTCTCAACACCCTCATAGAGAAGAAATTCTTCCCTATATCCGAGATAAATCTACTTTTTTTCAGTTTAAAACCACTGCCCCGTGTCCTGTGACTACAGGACAATAAAAAGCCTTTTGAATAAGCCCACTCTAAATACTGACAGGGTCCAATAAGGTTCGAGCCCCAGCACCTGGACAGAGGAGCAGCGCTGCCTTCGTGCACTAAACCAAAATATCCTGGGGTTTAGATGTAAGCTTGGACTTTGGAGCTTGTCCCTGATTTCACAGTTAGCCAACAAACCTATTAACTAAAGCTTAAACGATTTAGCAAAAACATATCTTTCAGAGGAATCTAACAATACAGAGGGTTAAATGTGTTTTACATTACATCACTTTACTGGCTCCTGTAGCTCACATTAACAGTTTTGGAATTAAGCCCAAGTGCAAATTGTGCTTGGAGAGTCTCAGCAGCACATGATCAGTACAGTGTTTTATACAAGGACTTTTCTAGCATTTCTTCATCTAAATAGCCACAATTTACATCAACTGCTCCAGGCTGAATAAGGCAGACAACAGCACCACTCCCCACTTCGATAATCTCAAGCTAAGGTAGAAAAACTGAGGGTACAGGTTCTACAGAATTTTGTGTATCCTATATGGGAAAATAAACAAATCTCCTTTCTTGGTAAGTTATGACCTGATCTAGCTATGAAATAGGAGATGGTCCTCCAACTGCACTTCAAAGATTATGTGCAGAGAGTTGACAGAAGGTTGGCAGGTCAGGCAGAGCTGGAAGGAACAGGAAGGGTTCTGCTCATAAAGTCATCTGAGGAAGTAGCTGCTCTTCCCAAGCATGATGCTCCAGCTGTTTCCATTATCAAATATCAAAATCATTCTTAACAGAAACATTCTGAACGACTGATTTACAAAATGAAACCAGCAGCTGCAGTCCTCACATCTCACCCAAACATGGATTTCCAGGATCAGGTCCACAGTGCAGGACTATCTACTGAGATACACATCCTTGATGCATATTTTATACACAATCCATTTTAGTATCAAGACCTTACCCACAATTGGAATCACTGCTGGGCAATGTTGCTGCCCACTTTGGCTGCCCACTGCCAAAGTGATAAATGAAGGATTTGGAAAAAGGTGAAAAGGAGAGAGAAACTTTCACTGACAGAACTGAACAGGTCACAAAAAAAGAGATGCAAATTGGTCGGTCACTGAGAGAAGAGCAGTGCCAGGTGCTGACACTGGCAACTCATCCATTACAGGAGAGGGGAGACCCTGCCCAGCCACACCTAGAGACACAACCTGGATTCCCTGTGTGAGCCTGGGTGGGCACCTTAAAGCCCATCCCACAAAAGGGCAAAGGAAGATGTTTTCACTGTGTAATACCTGCTGAATTCTTTATCCCCAAGGGTACCTATCACAGGTCAAAGCAGTTGTACCAACCCTCATTTCAACTGCTCTCTGCACAACCACACAGCTTCCCCTGCTTCTGGTTGAATACCATAGTTCTGAAATTAAACACACTGTCAGAATGGGGTTGAATGAAAAAAATGAATAAAAACTTGAAAATCCTCTTCAATCGAGAAGTTGTTTTAAAAATTGTAGGGAACAACTTACTTTTTTTTTTTCTATTATTAAAAAAGGTCTACAGTCCAACAGAAAGACAACAGCTCTGCAGTATTCCAAGCAAGCTGGAATTTGCAATACACACATTTGGACATTTCAGCGTCCCTGTTTCGGACACCAAAACACTGAAAGCTCCAACAGGGAGCATCAGCAGTACAGGACAAGAGAGAAAAATACCTTCATAAATTTATTTGCACCACTTTTTGCAACTAACTCAAGGTTTAACACCATGTGCCCACAGCAGTGCTTACAGGCAGGAATCCTCTTGTGCTGATCTCACCTTCAGCTTTATGTTCATCATTTCCTGTCTGACTGGAAATGGGTTTTATCCTGGGCTGAGATGCAGCTGGAACCAGGGAAACCTCATTTCAACACTATCAATGAATGCAGTGTACACAGATGAACAGAAAGTCTTTCCAAATCTTAATAAAATACTGCATCATTCTTTGGTTCTATCACTCTAATCCTATTTTCCTACTCTGGAATGACGTTTGCACTACTTACTGTAAAAATTAATGTTAAGATACCATTCATAAAAAAGGTCATTTCAAGGCTACATTAATCAAAATTATTCAGAACATTAGTGACATTAATGATATTACTGGAGAGCTTGGCATGCAATAAATACAAAACTGACTGCAACAGCAAAGCAGCATTTTCCAAATACTCCATGAAAAGCTGTATTTTGTTGTACCAAAAATGCTTTCAATTACTGAGCCAATACATTACACTCAAAATGTAGGTTTACTGCATAGCAAAGAGATTCTCTGCCTTCGGAATATGATGAATATTGGGGGAAACACTTTCTTTTCTCTTTGTGATTTCAAAATCTGTCTGTACTGACGTGTCACTGCAATATAATGCAATGTTAAACACTGTGCCATGGCATTATTACACCATATCTATCTATTACCAAGCAATATCAAGCTATCACTTAGAGATGTGTGACAAACAGTAAAGGGAATTCTCCAACACTAACTGTTACTGCTACTGCAATAAAGCCCATAAAATACATAAATGCACCTAAAGTGCATCTTTTAACAGGTTGGTATTTGCACATTAGGCACATGAGAAAATACACTAAAAATTCACTAAAAAAATAAGAAGGGAGGGGGAACCTCAGTGGGTTGTTGGGTTCCCCCCACCCCACTCCTGACATCCTGTTGCACATCTTATCTTCACCCATAGCTCATATCAAATGCTGGATTCTCCAATGCTGTCTGCCAGGATTCAGGACACTGTAGTTCTGATCATAAAGGGCTGTAACATTATCTTTGAGGGTCTCCCATGAGTCTGACAGTGCTGACCTGTCCACGATTCCTTCAGGATTCAAAACCAGCCAGGATCATGTCACTGAAAAGGAAATTCCTATCTGAAAAGTCCCCACTCCTCAAAATTAATAGAAAATCTGTAGACATTTTCACATTAATATATTAATCATTCCTTAGGGTACAAAATACTTTGCACCACTGTTTATTTGCTACAGTGCATATGAATATGTTACTCCATCCTTTCTTTTACTGAAGTAATTTTTATTTGTTTAGCAATTATGCTCTTCTGGCCTTTTCTGATGAGTAGACAAAAGGCAATTAACCATACACGATAGAATATTCACTCATTACAAGATATCATGGCTAGAATGATATCTTCATTATCAATAATATATTTTAAGTGCTTTTCACTTAGAGCAACCTCTCCAAACTACTCAGGTAGACAGGCAGGCAGACATGGTCAGGGAAACCATCCATCAGCATCCTAATGCCTGACATGCTAAGGTACAACACACAGACTAGTTCTGGTGACTCTGACTGATCACATCAATTCTGTTGCTGCAGAAAATAAAAAATGATAAGAATAATCAAGATAAAGAACACCATCTCCCAGCAGGGCCTCTCAGAAGTTAAAGAAGTCAGAGAGCATCTTGGAGAGGTTCTCTCAGGGATGCCAGCTACTCCTGACCCAGCTGGCAGCAAGTAAATCTAAAGAAGTAGTAAGGGAATAGATGAAATAGGACAAAAACTCTGAGAAAATTTCAATGTTCTAAGGGAAATTTTGCTTTAATGGCTTATTTTTAAAGCTCCCTAAGTAATACGTTGCTGTAAATAGAAATATCACTGATCTGTTTCTAGTATAGAAATAATACCCAGACAGCACCTAAGGAGAGGGAACAGGTGTCTGAAATCAAGTTACACCTACACTGTGCTCCACAATCCTGTGTACCCAGTGCTGGGGCTGGATTGCAACTTGGAAGTGGAAAAGCTGTGAAATTACTGATCAACACAAAGCCAAGCTGAGCCCCCTCATCAAGCAGAACATAAACACCCATGGAACGAGCTCTGGGATGTGACACCAGACAGGTAACTTATTAAGTGTATTATCTGTAAACAAATGAAGCTCTCTCTGGATTTCAGCCAACTTCTATTCTCAGCAAGCCACACTAGAATTTCCACAGTCAATTAGTGCAGAGAGTGGGTTTATTACCATGCTTTTGTTTGCAGAACTGAACATCTGCTATTAGCAATAAATACAAATAATCAAGGAAGGTATCGGAAACACAAGGCTGATTTCATGAGATTTGTTCCATTTCAGAAAGGAAAACGATCCCATAAATCAACAAATATGACTTCTAAAAGCCACAGAGTACTTGGTGGTACAGACAGACGTGAGAAGCAACAAAAAGGGCTTTACAAGCAGCTTGTTGCACTTCCATGTGTCTGTGGGGGTGGGCAGAAGCACCAAGAGGGCTTTACCCAAACTCTTGGATAAAGGGCCGCTCTTCTTCTTTATGGAATATTTAACATCAAGGAAGGCAAAGCAGGAAAGAAAAGCCATCTCACCTGATAAATGTCAGACAGGCTGCTGCTCCCAGAGTCACTGGCAATGCTACAGCCAGACTGGCTGGAGGGCACGTGTGTCACCTGAGGGTGGGGATTGTCCGTGAGGTGCATCTTGGTAAGGTCAGCTGGGAGCTGGGAACGAGAAGGATTTGGGGAAAGGCGGGAAAAAGAAAGGAAAACAAGATGTATAAGTCTGATTTGAAGACACAGTTATTTAAATAACTTTTGTTACGTGTTTGTGTTTGAATTGTTGAATTATTGAATCAAACTCAAACTGAACTTGAATCTGTAACTTGATGCATATTTTGAGAAAAAGCTAATTCAGACTAAGCTTGCCCAATCACACTCCAGATTTCATATAACTGATAGAAAATGATCCACCTTTCTACAGAACAAAGGTCTGGGCACTTTATAGTTGATATCCCCCAAGAAGATAAATATATGATGCTGGTCAAACAGCCTGCAGTATTTAACATTAGCTGACGTTACAATCCAATATGAAGCAGGATTATTCCTCTTTATAAATTTAATTTATGCACCTTAGTTTAAGAATAACCTTTAGAAGATACCAATATAGAACAAAAACTAATGTAATCTAAACAAAAGGTTTGGTCTATAAAGGGCTTTGAATTTTAAGAAAATGAGTACACAGAAAGAATGTGATGCATTTTTGGTACAGCTATATACAACAGCACCTCTATTCTATAAATCTATCTGTAAGTGAGCACACACATGCAGATATGTAAATTCTAGTGCATGACTCAAGTCCACAAACATGGTTCTTTCTACTGAAAAAAAGCAAATATCAGCAGTGGCTTTTGAAGATTCAGAGCTGCATGAAATCCTATCAAGTAACCAACCCTTTAATTTAGCTGCTTGGTTATTTTCTGCCACATGTACTTCTAATATTTTTTAAATTTATACTCAACAATATGAAAAGAACATTGTACCAAGGAATCATAGATTCTCTACGTGCTTTTACCATTGTAAATTATAAAAGTTATACACTATTCCTCTAAAAAATGTTCTGATGCAGAAAAAAGCCTCAAACTAATCTGATAGAATCAAGTGCTATGATCAAATGAAAAGATTTCTTCTGTAAAGATTCCACATTGTTGTGTCAGCCACATTCAGTCCTACAAATTAAAAGACAGTATTGTACAAATGCTGCTGATCTGGTATCAACTTTATAAATACTGATTAAAGAGAAATGGTAAACAGGTTTTGATTTGGAATCATGTTTTTATGTCCATTATTTGAAGAGCACACAAGAGAAGCACTTTACCAAATATCAGTTCACTATTTTCTAAAAAAAGTGGCACCATGGCTCTTCCCCTCCCAGAAAAAAAATTTTTATACCCTCTGACACACGTAACAATTTTATTATCAAATTGTGATGAGGAACATGGGGGATGTTGTGTCCCTTGTGATTCCCATGACATTCCCATTGGCAGTCACTACTCAAACCAAGCCACTCTATGGGCTATGAAAGACTATAATGCTATTTCTCCCTCTCCTAATTCTTACCTTATTCTAGCTTTGTGTATCTTTTACTAACAAAAAGAAAGTATAAAATATCCAACCTGTAAATTCATATCTGTGGTCACATGTACCTGTGACAAGGAGAAAGTTTGAAATGATTACTAAACTCTCACAAACTCCCACAGAAAAACCCATCAGAGCAGGAGGTATTAAATAGTGAACTTGATCCAAAAGGGAACACAACACTTTGAAGCCACCAGAAAAGGTTTTGCAGGTTGAAAAAAAAAATATCTATTTTCAGGATTTGAGAACAGCAAAAAGGTCAAAGCATTCAGGTGACAAAATCCAACCCAGTGGCCAAAGGTACTCTCACTGTGAGCACATGGGGGAGAGCCGACGTGACCTCCCAGCCACAGCAAAATGAGCAGCTGTGAAGCTGGGATTTAATCCTGGTCCACATGAACACACCACAGAACCCATTTCTGTGCCACACACAGCACAGCACTGCCCATGCAGCACCTCTGCCAGGCATGGGGCAGGGAGTCACATCACCCTCCCTACAGAGGCAGGGAGTCACATCATCACCCTCCCTACAGCCACGGGGAGCTGCACAGCAGGTAAGGCACTGATGCTTCACCACGTTGCTGGGGGAGGTTGTTCCTCTGGCTTTCCCCACGTGCTGTTCCAGGGCAGGGCTGGGTGTGGGTGCCACAGGGTGCCACTGCTGCCCTGCTCCTGGAGCTCACCCCCAGCCCCTCTGCGGCAGCGCGGCGCTCCCAGCCCTGCTCCGAGCCAGGTCAGCACATCACTTCCCAGGGAGAACATCCAGCAGCACTGTGGGACTGCTGGCAAATTACCAGGCAGGGCTGCTGGCAGAGACACTGCAAGTCAGTGGAACTGAAAAATCCAGGAGTTTCAGGAAATTACAGAACAAATCAGCCCATAGAGATTCATTACCCCACTACTGCTGCAAACTCCTCAGCCTGTCCCCATCTTTATAACCTCCCTATCCCAACAACCAGCTCCAATTCAGCTTCCATCTTTCCATCCATGAGCAAATCCCACACTGACTGTGATAATACAGACACAAGGAAATCTAATTTAAGCTCCCTGCTATCCAGACTCTAGAATTTTCAAAACTACTCCAAGAACAGAGTGAGTAGGACCAGGAGAAGAACCAAATCTATGGGATTTCCTGGGAGAACAAGGGCAGGTGCCTGCTCTCTGCCAACAACTGGTTTTATTAAAGCCTGTTCTGGCTCAAAGACATCACCACACTCTAAGATACCAACTACCACATACAGTTTATCTTCTCTAATTTAGTTTTGATTTTTAAAGTTCTTGTGATGAACAATGTTTTCCAAACCTAGATTGAGAAGTGGGGCTCTGTCTGGTTTAGTGGAAGGTGTTCCTGCCCATGGCAAGGAACACCTTGGAAAGGGATGAGCTTCAAGGTCTCTCCCAGCACAAACCATTCTGATTCTGCAATTCTAATTAATGCTGGAACAGAACATGGCTCTCAAAATAAGCAAGTTGTGGATATACTTTGTATGCCATTTTCACAAAAACTCACTGAAGACCAACTCAAAGCACCACCAGCCCTTCCAAAGGAGTATTTCTAATCAACTTACTACTTCTAATCACAACTGATCTTCATTCCCCCTGCCAGCCTTCCCTTCATTTCCCTCACCTATAAAGGGTATGTACAACACTTCTGCTGGGCTCTGTAATATATTCTTGTAAAGGACATTTAATGCAAGTGAGATGCAAGGAAACACCACAATATCTCTTTAAACTGGAGAGAGAGAGAGATAAGGTTTATTTGAGACAAGTGACCTTTAAAGTACTGCTTGCCACTCTACTCGATCTCCCAAAATAAATCACAGCTTCTGCCTTTTGTATGTCATTTTTATTACCCAAACTGATTGTTCTTTCCCTCAGAGCTCACTAAGCAGCAAGACACAGAGAGGATGTTCCTGTACCAACATGACAGCAGGTACAGGAAGGACTTGCTGGATGGGGTAGGGAAGTTGCTGGAAGTGACATAAAATTGTCTTAACTATTAATGATTATGATTTTTTTTTTTGGTGAAACTTAGAAACTCTTGTTACAATGGCATCCATACCTTGAAAAATCATGCATTGGGACACAAGCACAAAACAGTAACGTTCCCCTATGCCCACCTTAGAGGCTTTGGGATGCAGATGTATGCATCTGCAATATCTTCTGGCTAGGTGTGTGCCCCAGCAGCCACAGACAGGAAATCCCCAAACATCCATGAAGTTCTGATAAACACTCCAATAGGCTACTTACTTGCCACTTTAAACCACAACAATTTCATTTTTTCCCAAGAAGGGATAATCTGGAGTTGGAATATGAGTACATCTGACATGCTGGCACAGCCTGTCCCTACATCTGTGCCAGCACATCCTTGTGACTGACCTTTCCCAACAAAGGGATATTTAGGACCAAACCCCCCACAGAAATGCCACACTGCAGTTCAGAGCTGTACAAGAAAGAAAGTTAAGAAAATAGAAGTTCTGGTCGGTACAGCCACCTACAGCTCTGCCCTCCCACTGAGTCAGGAAAACACAGTTGGTGATTACACCAAAAAATCTTGGCTCAACAAGGGAATTTTTAAAGAGATACTGCAAACTGCAATGAGAAAAAAGGAGAGAAAAAACACTAAACCCTCTGGAAGCTCATCCTAATGGCAGCATCAGCCTGTCTTGCCACACAAACCCAGAAGCACCAGCAGACTGGACTAGGTTTTGTTAAAGGTGTGTGAAATTTGGGAATAGGGTACAGAGGGACACCCCACCCTGCTCACCAGGACATAGCTGAGGGTGGGTCACTCAGGAGAGAGGGGAGGAAGGGGGAGAAGACATGGCAGTGCAAAAGCCAGCTCTGAGTAACAATTAATAAAAACTGACGTGAACAAAATATTAAACTTTCCCCACAGCAACCCTGAAAACACCCCAAGGTGAAGACTCCAGAGATCCACCAGGAGCTTGGTTTTTGCCATTGATTTCATGGGTGCAGCCACCCAGCACCAAAGCACTCCTGCTGCCAAACCAGAGAACTGTGAACTTTCTAAAAGCAGTTTGACAACAAGAGCAGAGCAACAACGTGATGGTTTCTCCAGGAGACTGCTGAGGTTTCCCACAGTTCCCCAGTAAGAACTGTATCGAGTCTAACAAAGATGAGTACAAGGTTGTGCACCTGCACCAAGTCTCATGTCTGTAATTTTGAAATTAATTGGGGTGTGAGCTCTGACACACCACCCAGCTCCCAGGCCAGCAGAGAGAGGAGAGTGCGTCTGCAGTGACATTTAATTCCCACATAAACTCCATTTACTCTCAGCAGTGAAGTCACACAGAATACCTGGGAATTAAATTAAAGGCTAATTTCAGTATAACAGACTTTTAAGATTGCACATGCCCTGTACAACAGAGCAAATGACGTGACCTTTGATGAGATGACCACCCGTCAACTCCTCCGAGAAGGACACTAAAAATGATGGTCAGCCTGAGGACAGCTTTCCTTTATGTGCTCCTCAGGAAGGGTTTGCTAAAAATAAAGGCTCTGGAAAGTCATTGCAGAGGTTAAATAGAGAGAAAGGGAACCACGGAAGTCATGAGCGAAGTTCT